ATCCAGGGAGCGGGCATTTAAAGCAAATATTTATTCTCCCTCCCCTGGCCCCTTCATCGTCCGAAATAGACAAACGTACCTTGTTTCCTAATAAAACACTTTTTTATCAGATTTTTTTTTTTTTGCTTTATACTGTTCAGCAGTAGATCCGTAAGGAATCGAAATCCGATGAGTTTTTGGATTTTGGACACTTTTTTTTGGGGGGGGGTATGTCCCCTACAGCGTCGAAAACGCCTTTCTGGATCCGCATATGACATCAGCTCGACTGGGATCTTGCCCCCCCACGCCAAAATCGAATCCGCCGCCACTGCGATACAGACGCGACCTCGGGACTCCGCGGGGCGGCCGATAGCCGAAGTCAACGCTCTTGGCAGCGTGTGCGCGCCCGGCTGAGGCCGTAATCCGATTCGTGCGATCTGTATTTACACGCGATAGGCGGCCGGTCGGGTCGTGAGCCGGTGATGGAGCGGCGGCACGGTGCGCCGGGAGGACGACCGACTGGAGGGCGCTCTCGGGAAGTATCGGCCGGCCGATCGGCGCCCCGCGGCCCGCACGAGCCGCCTGTTTGCCGGCGCGACTCACTTACCGATGCAGGGGAGGAGACAAGACTATCGGTGATCAGCGGATAGATGGATAGTGAACCGAGAGAGAGGGCAATCAGGGGCGGGCGGAGAAGGGCGAGGAAAGCGGCGCAGATCACGGTCGAGGGTTAATATGGCACCGATTAGGAAGAGAAGCGGCAAATGCTCAGGAAACAATATACAGCCATGCCTCAACTTCTCCCAAAATTTTTCGTTGAGGCTAACGAATAAGTTGGTGTTATATAATGATATATTGTGATTTGTGAACAACAGCTAGGTCGGAAACCCTAGAACCGATCGGTGTATTGACGGACCCAAACCACATCCGGTACCCTCCCTGTCGCTGCCAACAGGCCTCTCCAGACCTCAACCCTCTCAGTCACCCCGTCACTGGCGGCCTCTGTACACAAACAGACAGCTGCTGCGGGCCACACACCACCCGGCATGTCCCAGGGGGACAGCGAGGGTCCCAGCACACAGCCCTGGCAGATTCGGTGGACGAGCCAGGCGCCAGTCCAAGCACACACCGTTGACATATCCCGTGGACAAGCCTAGCGGCGGTCACAGCACACACCCCTGGTAGATCCCGTGGACGCGGCAGGCGGCTTTTCATCCACACACCCAGCACACCTCAGAGGACCCGGCTCAGACAGACCGGGGGACGGCCTGCACCTATACACAGAAACTATCACAATCAGCATGGCGAAATACAGCGCAGAAGGCAGCTACGTCACAGCAGCTGATGTGTAAATACGCTTCCAACGAGATGTTCGAAATTACGAAGTTCTTAATGAAAACCAATGGTCTCCCTAATGGTCTCTACTACGCTGCATTGTCGACACAGTCGCAATAGTGTCTAAGAAATTAACGACTCGAGTTCGACAGTCAACTGAAGTTGCCGCATCCGGAGGAGTTACGGATATCAGATATCTGGGCTCAGTCTGGGGACAAGGAACCCAGCTCTAAACTCAGATCCGATACGCTGATAACTTCGGGCCCGCTGGGAAGTCCGCAGTCGGGTCAACAAAGGACTGCCCCAACGCGTTTCGTATGGCCACTCGCTTACAAACGCTATCGCGAGGGGAGAATTTAATGCACTGGAAAGGAACTATCGACCCTGAGCCGCGCCATTTTAGCCAACCACCCGGCCCGGGGTGACCGCAGAAAACACCCACGCCTCTGCCTCATTGCATGCTGGCTCAGTACCCGAACAGCACTGGTCCGACCGTCAGACTGGCCGGCTGCCGCGCCAGCGCCCGAGGGCGTTCACCTGGGAACGGTCGCCCCGTTTCTCGGCCAGACCTGCCTGGCTCAGCCGGAACCGGGGCAGGGGCGGGGTCGAAGACTGGGCGCCGACATCAATCTATCACAGCAGCGGCCGGCCGCCAATCTATTCTTCATCAGACCGCCACGGTGCGCTGCTGCCTTCCGCCGCCGATCGGTAGGTCGGGGCAGCCAGGAGGGCGGCGCGCGGTCGATGACGGCGGCGCCGGTATACGCTCCTCCAGCTGGGCCCGGCGCAGCGGTGGCCGCCCAGCCCCTCCCTACGGCAGTGTTGTCGCACTCCGGGCCGGCGCGCGCGCTCAGCGGGCCGCCGCCGCCGGTGCCACAAACAGGCCGACTTCCTGCGTGCGCCCCGGCGCCCGGCCGGTGTGCGGGGAGGTATTTCGGGCGGACTGCGTGCCGGGCGCGCGGGGCGGCGGCGGCGGAGTGTCGCGGCTCGGCGGCCCGCTCCTCCCGGCCGGAGACGGACGAGCACTCCGTCAGCGAGCCCGCCTCAGCAGCCGAGCGGCCGGGCGCGAGTCGACTTCTCAGAGGCCGTCACAGTCAGCAGGGAGGCGAACGGCGCCCAGAAGTCAGCCGTCAGCACTCGACATTCGGCAAACGCTGAGCGCGGCCGCAGTCGCACTGGCATCGACCCGGCGCCGGCCGCCCTCGGTCCCCGCACCTGAACAGAGACACCCGCCCCGCGTCACCATCTGTATGCTGGGACTGAGCCACACAGCCTTTTACAAACAAACGACCGCATAAAGGGCTTTGCAAAGCCAGCCAGCCTATCTAGCCCGCTCAAAAAGATCACGCTAAACACACAGTCAGCCCGACTCCCCGCTGCACGGCAGCTGCGCTCAGCTCCAGCGTTCTACGGCTGCGCCCACGCGCTTATTCCACCGAGCATCAGCATTCAGCGCGGAGTGGCGCGGTCTCTGCACAACCCCGAAACGCTCTCAGAACGCCTCCGCGCCGCTGACCGAGCGTGCAACACATGCATGCATGCATACACAGCCGACGGCCGGGCAGCGCCGGACGAGGCGTATGGCCGCCGATCGCCACGGTCCGCCCGCATGGCAACGTCCGAGAGTCATCCGAGTAGCGGCCGAGGCAGTGGGGACTAGGGAGGCTGTTCAGCATGCGACCCGTGTCTCACCGGCGGCACGACACTAATGCAGCGCGGCCGGCCGGCGGCTCGCCTCCTCTGCCGGACAGAGCGGTGAGTCGGCTCGCCAGACAGCCTGGTGCCGCTGTCAGCGGCCGGGCCGGCCCAGGGCTCGCACCTCCGCGAGAGCAGGTGTCCGCGCTCCAGGTTTGTCCCTGAGCAGAGACGCCACCCGGCTCTACTGCGTCTCACACCCACTGGCGTTCCGTGAACTGACGGGCGCGACCGGAGGGAGAAGTATGAGGAGGAGTATGTGGCCGACGGCCGGCGCTATCTTTAGAGGCAGAGTTATGTCGTTTCCGCCGCACACATGTGCACTTCCAGGGATCTGACATGTGATACGGGCGCGCACCGAGAAACTGTCATCTCAATATGAAAAGTACTTCATATGTGTTAGCTTGTCAGACATGTTGCTTGCAGCGATTAACATTTCTCGGCGTTTTGGTGAAAAACATCGAACACTCTTATCTGAGAAGCTTAGTCACTTGCCTGTCAGCAACAGCTCTGCAGATAAAAGATAACATTTAGAAAGCTGGCAGAGTAAATTAAATGCCAAGATAGTGACACGAAGCCGGTGCCTGCCACAAAGTTTAATGACTTGTCGAAGCGATGGTGGGACCGAAAGCGCTTCTAATCTCAATCCCTAATTTCCTATCACAAAAGTGTAATTACTCCTCACCAACTTCTCGAAGCTCCTCACATGCCTCGAGTTCCTCTCAGCTCTCCCGAACGCTCATCTCTCCTCTGCTCTCCCGAAACCATCCCCGCCATTCGGGCTAACTGGGCGATTTCGCTCATTGTCGACACCGCTCTTCACGGCTTCAATGGCCGCAGCCTTGGCGCCGCTGGGTCAAGTGCCATGGGGAGGGTTGGCAATGAACGACTCCATCGCGGCGCCGCAGTGCCTTGACGAGTGGGGTCGCGCCGCTGACCTTCCCACCGGTGTGACACTGGGGACGGTGATGAAGACATCTCATTTCCGCTGCTGATGGCACCGCTGCCGCCCACGGAGCCGCTCAGAGTCGCTCACATGGAGCGCAGATAGACTGAGAGACCGCGCCCGCTGATAGCGGATCTGTGTGGTTTTGCGCCGCGCACTTGTGTGCTATCTAGGTAACACAAACAAAGACGGAGGGTAGGAGTTCGATTTCGGCCTGTTTCGACAGCCGACTACACATTTGTTCACGGCTTGGTGCATCTCTGAGAAGCTTTGAGTAGGTAACCGACTGGTGAGGTTGCATCGTGTCAATACAAGACAACCTCATGTTCTTTCAGGTTTGCAACTAAAGTCAGTCCAGGGAGAGTATATAAATTCGCCATCTGTTGCTGTCTTCTTGCATAAAATAGGTTACCTCGCCAGCACATGGATCGATAATCTACTATCTGCACCTTCACGGCCGCTGCTGCGACTGCGGCTGTATCTACAAGGTCCGACACGGCCCAGCGGCTGTGTGTATGGGAATGTCCACTGAGCTGTGCCACGGCTGGTGGTTTCGTAATTGGTCATGTCGGGTTATGCTCAGTGAGCGTGGCTAATGTCTGACGCAGGCCACACTGAAGCCGCGCCCGCCCAGTGCCTGGAATAGCGCAGTGGATAGGCGAAGACGTGCAATAAAGAGCACCACGGCTCTGCCGGGCATGAGATTGCGCCCTAATTGGTACTCCTATCCACGCGGAGGCGGCGATCCGGTCTAATGATTTCCTGCCGCACTCTCCGAAACTGGGGAGCGCACCCATTATGGCCCAAAGACGAATGTGACCTGATCCGGAGGAGACTCAGTGACTAACCACAGCTCCTCCGCTACCAGATGTGTCAGGGCACCACCCCGAGACTATCATCATCGGCTACCGATTCCCAATCAGCATTAGTTCATCCTGAGATCATTACCGGCCGACACTGACGACTCCCTGGGCGCTGACCGCAGGCGGGGGCCGAGCAGCGGTCGCCCACGCTCCCCGGTCGTCAGACGTGGAGACAGACTCACCTGCAGTTTGGCCAGCGGGATGATATCGCAGTTGGTCGGCTTGTGCCACACCGTCTTCTGGCTGGCGGCGTTGTAGTAGTAGAAGCGTGATGTGTTCTGGTCCAGCAGCTCCCACCACTGGTTGTCACTGGTCCGCTTCCTGAAAAAGAATATCGCACATGTCAGTCAGAGAAATCAGCGATCAGTTAACCAATGGATAGGCTTTATTCATTATTCATTTTATAATTTAAAAAAGTTTATCATTCAAAAACACCCAATGCTCTGCCAACTCATGACCAGCGACTAGTAAATACAGCCACCGTCAATGCTCACATTCCAAACCCATATCCAGTTATTACTGCTGCAGACCAGTCGAGGCTGTCAGTCGGGTGGGCCGTATCGGGCAACATGCTCAGTTACAGATACCATCGGCACACACCACCCCTGCACCCGGGCGTACACCAACTAGAGGTGGCAAAATGTGGACCCGGGGACCCGGTCCAAAGAACCAGTCTGGACCCATATGGGTCCAGACCGGTTCCTGGAAATTTTCTGACGGGTCCAACCGGGTCCTACCATAAACTATACATCTTGCACACTACACATAGCAAAATATGAAGTGAATGTTTCTTTGCACGAAGTAGCTCATGAGTATTCCCAGTGAGAAATAGGCTGTTTTACATGATGCAACCAATGATACCTACAAGTAGTTTGTATTAATTGACTTTTGGGGAACGGGTCCAACTGGTTCCGATTCCATTCCAACTAAGACCGGGTCCGACTGGTGCCAGAAATGTCCAGCCGGGTCTGGTTCGAGTCTGGTTCTCAAAATTTTCATCTTTTGCCACCTCTAACACCAACTAGCACGGCACGGCGCTCTGAGTTTCTATCGGATTTATTACCGATGGACCGGAGCTTGCGATATACCATCGGACATATCACGGATCGGCCGGCGATCCGACCAACCATCGGACATGATCAGGAGGTTGTCGACTCGCGGACAGCGTTTGTCGACCGATTAGCACACCAGAACCGGTCGGCCGATGGCGACAGCCGACCCGGCCCGGACGTATCGCCATATATCATCGTCCGCCGACCGAGCCGGAGCGACGCCGAGGGAGCGGGCAATCAGAGTCTCATCAGAGGTCATCCGACTTCCGGCGGCGCCGAGGCGCGGCTCAGAGCGGATCCCCGGGACAAGCTGCTCAGATGGTGTCATAAAAACCGACCGCCTTTGATAGCCACTCGGCGGCTCGGAAAGCAGTCACGCCGGGCCGTGACTGGTGCGGGTCGTCGGACAAGGTGGAAAGTAGTCTACAGCCTCACCGACAACACAGCCGACTGAAACTGGATTGCCGAAAGCCGATTTAGAGCTTGTTAGCAGCTCACCGCCGCATGGGGCCGGCAGAGTGAGAGCAATAGAGAAAGCCAGTCGGGAAGAGGCACAATCAGCGCCGTCAGCAGGAAAAGACGAGCGTGATATCACCAGCTCGTGACATAACACCCGGTTTACGCCGGATCACCGCAAAGGTGACCGGCAGTGACGCCGTGTGAGTCACCTCAGTGAGTGTGAGTTTGGCGTGAATCGGCGACGAGTGTGACAGATGAACAATGTCCGGAGACGACAGGCGGCGCGGCGCCGGCGGCATCCCGGGCCGTGCGTTTTACCTGAACAAACAGAGCACCTCTGCGGCGCGGCCGGGGACACAAATAGAGGCGGCGATGTGTGTGGGCGACGATCAGCGGCCGTCCGGAGCACAGGGGAGGTGTGAGGAAATGGAAGGGAGAGAGAGAGAGAGATAGATAGAGAGGGAGAGAGAGAGTATGAAAATTAGAAGAGAGGAGATTTATTGTTTCTCTCTCGCTTTTCGGGGCGCTTCGACATGGGCATGACGTGCTGAAGAGAAGGAACAGAGGAAAGAAAGAGGGAGGGAGGGAGAGAGAAGGAGAGCAGACGAAGGAGGGAGGAGGTGGCAATGATGGAAAAGAGCTGAAAGGAGACAAAAACACGAAAACAGGGACGGAGACACGGCAGTAGATGGAAGAGAAGTGCACAAGCGGGCGGCGACGGCGAAGAAAGGAGGCGGGAGGGCCGCCGCTGACAGGCAGAGAAAGGCGGGAGGGGATACAGACGCCCTAATACCACCATAATGGCATACCGCGCGCGGCCATACTGGCTGGGACGGCTGCGTGCCCGGGGAGGAGGGCGGGAGGGGCGGGGCGGGCACAGCGGAAGGGTGGCGGAGGACGGGGGAGATCAATGGAGGAGCGGCCGACGTCGGTTATCACACCAGAGCGGCACGGTCGGTACTCGGCACCTATGATCGTCACACCGGTACCGGGTCGTAGTCGCGTCACGCCGTCACAGCCGACCGCGCGGCGCGGCCAATTTCTCCAGCAGACGGTGGACGGACAGACAGACCGACAGACGGACGGACAGACGGCCCACGGACGCAGAAGCCGACAGCTGTGACCACGCCGTCACAGCAACAGACGGTGGGGTACAACAGAGGCCGGATGACTGTCGCATTGACGCCGAGCGGCGCTGCCTGCCTCGCAGAGACCTAACGGGACACTCACCTGCGACGGCCTAGCGTGGCGAACCACATGTCGCGCCGTGCCCCGCGTCCGGGCGGCGTCAATGCGGTCTGATCGAGCGCCGGGCGCCTCTTCACGACGGCGCCTCTCAATCAGCGCCGCGCGTCGTCCCACAATGGAGGCGTCAGGCGACTGTCGCGCGCCGGCGGAGGCGACCGGTCACGCAGGACGTCGCGTCGCACCTGAACTGGTGCGCGGCGCGGCGCGTGCCCCAGGAGCCGGCGCGCACACACACACGGCGCCGCGCGGCCAAACAAACGACGGCGCGACGTTTACGCCGGCGGCGCCGCTCTGTCGCTACCGACGGCGCCAGCGATCCCCTCCCCCATCGGCGGCGGCGGCAGGGGAATAATGGTGGCATTACGTGTCCGGTCGCATTCAGCGGCGGTTCGGCTGAGTGGCGGCCACAATGGTCCTCTCAGCCGGTGTGGTCTGGTCGGTTCCCCGGTCACGCGACTCGGCTCGGCGCTGGAGTGGCACCTCTCACCACCAGGCGAGGTCAGCCCGCCGTTAGCACCGCCGCCCTGGGGCCGCTCAATGTAAACAGAGCACACATAGGAGCGCCGTGTCAGGGGCGCTCTCTGATCCGCAGGTCAGGACTCGGCCGGTCGGCACGGGGTGAGAGTCCGCGGAACGCTGCCGAACGCTGTTTTACTCATCGCTGACCGCAACTAACGGCTGTAGCCGACCACTATCAGCCATCGGCGATCACTGACCAGTGGTCAGTGACCACAACCAACCGCTCCTCTTATGATAACAGTACTCAAACCCGCCCATCCGTTCTTCCTCCTCACACCGTGTCAGCAGAGACAGACAGCAGAGCACGGCGCCGGTGTGGCAGCAACCCATCACCGCAGCCAGCCCGTCCGTCTGTCCGTCTATCCGTCTGTCAGCGGGCCCACCCGGTCCGGGGGCGGCGACACCGTCACTCAACCCATCCCGGTCAACGTCCGCGGCCGCTTCACAAACAAACGGCGCCGCCGCCGCCGCCGCTGCGTGCGTCCGCCGCGCGTCGGTCGCGTCGGCGGAGTCGATTATGAATCAGGCGACACGTCGGGCGCCGCGCCAGCCGCGTCACACACGCAGCGCTGCGTCAGAGCCGACGCGGGGGTGCGCCAGAGACGCCGCCGGCCGCCGGCGGGCGCACGACGCCCGGAGATATACGGGCGTTCAGCGGCGGCGGTCGAGCTGCCTCTCCGCCAGATACCGAGTGGCGGGCCGACTATGAATCAGGCCTGTGATCCGCCGGCCGCCGCCCCGCCCCAGACCCAACACGACCACCGCCCGGCTGAAACAATGAAACACGGCACGCTGGGGACGGCCGCAGAGAGAGACGACCGGCGGCCGAGGGACGAAACGACCGACGCGGTGGGGCCAGCGACAATAGCCGGACTGACCACCGGCGGTTAGGCAGCAGGGCTGGGGGACCCGCGCGAGGGAGACAGGAGCACTTGATATGATTGTCGACTTCCAGATGGCAAATGGGAGCAAAGCATTAGCTAAGTTCGGCGTGCGACCCCCAAAATAACACAGAGCAGAGGAGACGTCATACCAGGACTTCACAGTCTTAGACAAGCTAAGACTAGAACACTAGAACAGTGGGAGTCATTCATTCAGTTTCCACATGAGTGACAGGACAGCCCTCCACTGTAGCAGGCAGCGGTGTCACCAGCTGCCAAACGAAGTGTCAAAAATACGCCGGCAAATATCATCTCTGGTACATCGCAGCGTCACCTCCGCTTTCCGGCGTGCCTACGCTCAATCGTCACCGCGTCACCTTCGCGTCACAGAGCGTTACACCGTGACGTGACGGCGTCAGACAGCCGCTGGGTGGACGCCGGCGCGGCGCCACACGACACGCTGGCGACAGGCCGGTGTGCCGGGTCGGTATCAGGTGTGCGGTATCACGTAGCTGGTGTCAATATCCGACGGGCGGCCGCTGAGCTGTATGAGTTTGGTGAGCTGAGCTGGGAGCTGCGGCGGCCGATCATGACGAGCTGTCGCCGCTGAGGTCAGTGCCGGCGGCGTTAGTCACCGGGCACGGTCGAGGCTACAGCTCGACCCACCGCTGCCAGCGCTGTCGGACACGGTGGGGCCGCAGCTCGACCCACCGCTGCCACCGCCACCGCCTCGCTCGCCGCCCCTCCCACGCACAGCCCCGCCCTGTGCGTGGCCGGGCGGGGAGGGGAGGGGGAGGGGGACCGGCCGCATATCGGCCCGCTGCCATCGCCCGGTCGATGACTGATGGGCGTGCCGATGCCTCGTTAACCGGCCGCCATCGGGGGCGATCGGCCACAGCCCCGCCGACGGCGGCGCTTCCGTCGTTCACGACGCAGCTGCGCCCGTCTGGTCAGACCGATGACCGGGGTAGATGGCCAGGGTAATAACCGAGCTCGATACCTCGGGCAGCGCGGGCCGGGTGTCGCATAAAACGCTGATGTCAGTTTTGTGCCGACACATCTCGGCGATATCGCGCCTCGGATAGCGCTCAAACGTAGTCGGAGCTGCTCTGGACCATCCTCTGGAGCGACGCTGACCCAGTGATAAGGCTCGCGCCCGCGGCCAAGACGACATTTATCACCCACAGATGTCTCCCATTACCCCACATCATCATTATCATCATCATCTACGTGGCTTGGCAAGACGCAACTGCCCTGGAAATCTTCGGCAGAGCCGCATAACAGCAGAAACTCTGCACCGGTACCGGCGCTCGCTGGGGGTCAGAAGTCGCCCCACACTCTGTGAAGGTCAGCCTGGCCTGGCGTGACCCGGCCTCCTGAATCGGTCGACGGCAGACGCGGGGGGCGGGCCAGGTCGAGCGTAATCAGCCGAGTGGGTCGACTCGTGCCGCGGCCCGGGTCGCGGCGACGCGCGCGCTGGGTGTGCCGCTGAGTTGTGGGTGACAGCGCCCGTGAAATGTGGCTGCCGGGTCACCGTCGGGTCGCAGTCGTAGTACGAACTTCACGAGACGGCGCCGCGGCACGACATCCGAATACGGCGGGGCGTCACGCCAGCCGGCCACGACAGAACACGGTTCAGAGCACGACAGAACACCGCCGAGAGCATGGTTCATTCGAGGCTCAGAGCACGGTTCAGACCAAGGAGCTCTCAGTATCCATCGGACCGCCATATGGCTTTATCACGCCACTCGAAAACTTCACCGACAGCTCTGCTAAAATTGGCCTCGATCACAGCCCGGCACGGATTGCATTAGACGATGAGAATTCCGGCGAAAGCGATGACAAAGCGATGCCTGCCGTGGATTTGACCGGTGACGAGCGACTGCCAGATCGGACCGACAGACACGACAGGCACTGTAAGCTCCGCTGCGCCGACGTCAGCCAACCGGAACCGGAAGACAAGAGAGAACGGCAGCGAACCGGCAACTAGCATACGTCAGCGAGCCGGCAGTGGACCAGTGGACCAGCGTAGACCCCAGCGAACCGTATATGGACTTACAGTGGACCAGTGGACCAGCAGTAGACCCCAGTGAACCGTATATGGACTAACAGTGGACCATGCAGTGGCGGACTGGCATTGCACTGTAATACACACGCAGTAGATCAACTTCGAGAATATTTTCACAGCAGCTACAGCCCAAAGTGTGGCAATCGAAATTTATCTTTCCATCACGCCGGTCCCGTACGACAGCTTTCCTAGGTCAGCTGAGCTTGCAACTTACACCTCAAACAGCACTCAAGGGATATACTCAGTATCTCTCAACAAATCGGAAATAGATACTTCAAATGAGAGCTGCTCGCAAACTCCGATTTTCAAGCACAACACGACGTGGACAGAGGACAATGGACGAGTGAAAAGTAAACAGCACAGCGGGTCATTCCCAGTCCCGGGATCGCGGACACGGCGACACCCGCTGGCCAGGGGACCCGGCCGGTGTCCCGGGCCGCTGCTGTTCGTACCACCTGCAGCGTGAAAGGACCCGTTCCCACGGACCCGGGAAGACGAGCCGCCGAGCTATCTGTTCTCGGATCAGACGGTCGGGCCGCACTGCGGACGAGGCGAGAACTGGGACTGGTCGAGAAGAGAGTATATGCGCCGACTCAGCAGAAAAAGGCACATGTGAGTGATGTGATCGGCTGTCAAATTTTCAAAGATAATAAAATTGTGATAAGTCACAAGTCCATCACAAGCACAAGTCCATCACAGCCACTTCAGCTCACACATATGAAGCACAGAAGTGGAGCCAGAAAGGCATCCCGCAAACGTCATATCCCTTTTGCTCAACCCCGCTTATACCAAACACACGAAATGATAAAACAAGCATGAGCTCAGGCAGGCTATTGGTCTCCAAATGCCTCCTTTCGGTCCCCGTGTCCGGGTCAGCTGCAGTTTCTTTCACCCGTCCCACGTGAGCCTCCGTGGGACCAGAGGCCTCTCTGCGTCACATCTCCGCAGGATCTCCTGCCCAGACCAGCGGAACCCGATGACGTACTCAGGCAGCGTGGGCGGACGGGGGCCGGATCGTACCCTTCGCCGAACCGGCCGCCATTGACACAACACATATACACACATGCGGGACCATGATATCATCGCGTCGCCCCGGTCGAACCGCGCCAGCCCGTCTGCCGGGGCTCGGGGCGGTCACAGCGAGACAGCCACACGGCACAGCACAATATGAGCTTCAGCATGGGACGGCACGGCGCGAGACGGCACAATCAATCGATTATCGGAAGCTGACGGTTCAGCCCGGAATAATTCATCATCCGGTTTAGTCCAGAGTTCTGAGCCCGACAAAGGATACGTTCTGTGGAGCCAATGATCTAATTAAGTGGTGCTCAGTGCGATTGTTCGAGCTCTATGCTAAAATTTGCCGAGCCAGACGCCCTAGCTAATGAATGCTCGAATACTATCAACTGCAGCTGAGTGATCATTGATGATCGTATCTGTCACCGAACGTGACTAAGGCCAGGGCCAGCCAATATCAAATCAGCTAGCTTCCATGCCCATGGGCATGAATCATACCAATTCATATAACATAAATAACATGACATCATATGACACGTCGATCACCTATCTTCTCAACATTAACGCAACTAATCCTGAATAAACCTGGGGCTCACCTGACCCACTTTAGCCACCCCCTATCTTTCCCATGTCCTCTAATATCACTCCAGTCCCCCCGATAGTACGTTTCGCCGGCGGGTCCGGCCGATAGTGTCAACGACCGCGTCGCTCGACATGACGTGTGGGTGGCAATAGGGAGCGCAGGGCACGAACAGGGTGAAATGCGTCCTCAGGGACCGTATGGGGTGCCTCGCGTGAAACGTTGTTAGTGGGGCATAGTTCGTGGGGCGCAGTTCGTGAGACTCAGTTGGTGGGGCGCATTTAGCGAGGCGTAGCTTATGCGACACAAAGTGTGGAGCGTGAGGTGTGGCGGCGCCCAGTTCGGGCAGCACGGTCACACAGTGAACACCCCGTCGTATCTGTTAGAGATGGCCCCAGGCCAGGCGGCGGCGGTGGCCGCGACAGGGACCCGGCACGCCCCGTAACTCATCATCGACGCCCAGCGGAAACCATCAGCGCTCGCTCCAGATCGCGGACCGCCCCTGAGAAGGGTGGCGGCACTCCATCGCCGAGTCGCCGCCAGCCTTGAACCAGTTGGGAATGGCGAGCCGCCCCCACTCTCAGCGGTCGAGGGGCGCGGGCGAGGGGAGACTGCGGCGGCCAGTCACGAACGGCAGCACGTCGTGACGCCGCGGCGAGCACCGTGACTCGACCGTGACGTCGCAGTAGCCACCAATCACATCACCGAGTTACCGATCCCCGGCCATGACACGGTGCGGTCAGGGAGGCGCGGTTGCACAGCGTCATCGCGTCGACCCGGCGCGCTGTCACCAGTCCACAGACTCAAACCGAGGTGCGTCAACGGCTTTATCCGGCCGCACCCCAGGCAGGCGGGTTCCACCGGCATTCAGACCCAGCCGCCGCGCGGACCTGCGACTCATCCCGAAATAGCCGCCGGCGCCCCGTCCGTCCGTCGCCCATTCGCACGGCGCGCCCACGGACGTGAGGCGCATTGAGAGGCGAGAGCCAATTCCATCATCCTCCCGTCTCCGACCGGGCCCTGTCGGAGAGAAGGTTTGGACGGAGCGGCATCTGACAGCCGCAGCAGCTGGTCCGCCAGCTCGCCCACTGCCTAACCCAGTTCTGTGCCGTGTGCCGGTCTCCGGTCCACTGAACATGCCGAGGCATTGGCCTGCGCTGACCGCCGCGCCGTGCCGCCGCCCGCCGCGCTGGTTAGCATTGAGTGACAGCTGCTCGGCACCGACCCACACCCCGGCCGGCCGAGCGCGGAGAAAGTCCGAGGGCCAGTTCGACCGGCGACCGTGCAGCGGCGCCGGCCGTTCCCACCCACCACTGAGCGCGAGGCGTGTGCGAACGACCGGCCACCTTTCGCTGCCGCCCAGCCAATCGACACCTGCTGGCTGCCATTTCACTGCGGTCGCACAGCGCGGCAGCGAGCGAGGACCGATGGCCGGACGAGCTGATACTTTCGCTGATGGAGAGGGGCGGCGGACGACCCGTAGCAGTGGACGCAACAAGGACAGTGGATCCCAGGATACCAGCGTATAGCCCCAATGTCCGAAATTGGTTATTCTGAAGTGAGTGCTGTTGCTGTGCCAGTCATTTCATCGTACACTCACGGCTCAGCCTCAGTATGTCTGGCAGCTTCAACTCATCTCCCTACTCTTCAAATCATAACTGATTAAAACAGTGACCTTGCCCCATGATTCCACAAACCGGCCATTCTATCCCGCCTGCACTCCTCATTCACATTCAGTCCGCACACCGCAATGCAGTCTTCACGCGCCGCGGAGTGCACACATGTTCGTGATAACTATGTGGCAAGCTATGCCTGACCGGACCCGAGGCACAGTTGAGTAACCCCCACCGTGCGCACTCACACTGGGACCAGGTCACACCAGACTTGTCACTACTCCCAGTACCGTCTCACTAGACTGCTCCACCCACCCCGCCCGCACCAAACCGCGCCCATAAGCGTACTTCCAGTACCGTCTCACTCGACTGCCTATCCCACCCCACCCACGCCAAACCTCATCCCGGCAGCGTACTCACAGTACCGTCTCACTAGACTGCCCCTCCCACCCAGCCACGACAAACCGCGCCCATCAGCGTACTCACACTGGCACGCCGTCAGGAGGCTCCCACAGGCACTCGCCCGTGATCAGGTTGGCGTACATGTGCTCCCGCGTGCGCGGTTCGATGATCTCCACCCACTCCATCCTGAAACAAACAGAGGAGCACGGTTAGTGCCGGGGGCGGACGGACGGCGGACGGCGGGCGACACATTAGTCCGATGGCGGAGGGACGTTAGGAGCGGCGTTACGAGCGACAAACAGAGGAGGATGGTGCGGTCCGGAGCAAACAGAGGCGTAACGTCGCCGGCACGGAGCGACGTGCGTCGGCAGAGCGGGGGAGAGGGGCAGGGAGAGAGTAGAGAGCGGAGTACGAGCAGAGGGCACAGGTCAGGGCGGAGGTCACAGGTCGTGGTGTGAGGCCGGCCCCGAACAGCTGCTGCAGTCGTGAGCTGGCGCAACTTACGCTATACAAGTGGCGACATGAATCAATTCCCATGTGTTTACGGGCTTACAGAACATCCAGCACCTATTCATCGCCTGACATTACCAGTCTGCTAGCGTCACAGCGGACATTGCGGGCCATGCCATTGCGAGGCATAACACGACATGGCACAAGACCGCCAGCTGCTCTACAACTCCTGAACGACGCTGACATCATTTGGGCAGTGTGCTGCACTGCAGACGGCTAGATGGCGACTCAACGACCCTCCTCACGACCACCAGCACCGCCGCCGCCGCCGCTGCTGTCACCGTCTGCCGCCGCCCAGTGGTCCGACTCAAACGACCGTCCGTCTGCCCGTCTGTCCCGCTCGCCGACAGACTATCTGCAGGCGTGGTGATAACGACACTGACGGTCCGCCGCCGCGCCACGGTCACTCTGACTACGAGCAGCCACCGGAGAACGGCCCCGCGGCACGCCAGCCGGGGCGGCGTGGTGCGTCCATCAGTTGGCACCGGGCCGACGGCGCAGCGCCACTTTCACGGAGCGCGGTCAAAGGTGACGCGCGTGCCGAGCCGTGTCATGTCGACGGACCGGCCGGGGCAGAGTGCAGCCGGCTGGGATACTGAGAGTTAACGAGGGAGTGATGGGAGTGACGGCAAGTGGTGGCCGCCCCTCGAATCAGGACCGGCCGTGCAGCGCCAGCCACGACCACCCCTCGTTACCCTCCGCTCCGAGCAGCCGCACAGTGGGGAGCGGCCGGCGGGACAGCTGTCCTCCGTCTGTCGGAATGGGCGGCAGACACACCCGCCCTCCGCCCCCTGCCGCGGTGCGTCCTACGCGCGACGACAGACACTGCGGGGGAGCCCGAGTTACCGTCCCACGACATTATGTACATCGCTGACGGCGAATGCACGGTTCGTTACACGGACGAGAGTAGCCGGGAGACGGAAGTTGGTTGACATGTAGGAAGCACCAGAGGGACGATGCAGACACGAGTTTTGCAACGTTTCGCATGGCATGCAAAGCTCTGTACCACGGCTGAATCAATATTAACCCTATTAGTGGCAGGCTCCTGGCTACCCCCTATTAGTGGCAGGGGGGGCTGTTTACGACCCCCCCTTGATATCTCGAGATCTAACGGGCCGATTTTCAAAATTCAAACGGCATTCGATTTCGCTCAACGTGATCTACATTTCTAAAAAATAAAAATTAAAAAATGTCAATAGGGGGGGTAGAGGGGGGTAAAAACGGGCAAATTGCAGATACATTTTAGACTGTTTATCACGGCCAGGTTTCTGAACCAATCTTAACGCAACTTTTGCCGATCGATAGAAAATGAACCAGGAATTCACATGGATTCTAAAAATATGCATTTTCAAAAATCATAGGCGGATACAGATCATTGAGATTGGGGGTACACAAAAAGTATAGTAAATAAGGTTTTTGTTGGTACTGTTTCTAAAAAGGGTGGTAATGGTCTTGTTATGTTATAATTTTCTTATGAGAGAACGACTAAAATTGTATTGGTAATGCATAGGCGGTGTCAGGGCACCTATGTTGGGAGGTAAAACATAACCCCCCTTTTTGACGCCTGGATCCGCCTATTATAGCAAAAACGTGTCAAAAGAGGATGCACAATAACTGTATATGTTATCACATGATACCTTTTATTCACTGTTCGTAAAACTGGTGCAGCATCGTGATCTTCGCCCAAATGACTCGCTTCACGAATAGGACCCCCCAATTCCCAGTGCTCTGGAGCCGCCCCTGGTAAAGTTATGAACTTGAAATTTTCAGGGAATGTGCCCAATTTAGTTTTAGGAAAAGTCAGAAAATTTCAGCATCGTAGCTTCAGCGGTTTCGGAGATATTCCCGAAAAACCTGAGGGGTGGATAAAAACAACCCCCCCCCCTGCCACTAATAGGGTTAAAACAAGACGCTACACATTCAGATAAAGACGGATGTTCGTATGCTTATGTTGAGCGGGGATATTTATTTGAGCAAGCACGTCCTGTAGCATACATACAGCCCCACCTAGATCGCATGAGTCAGAGGTTTGCGAACGACGCCGTTCTCGATGTACGGCGTGCTCTCTGTGACGGGGGGCGACCAACGGGACTGGGTCCCTGCCGCGCACAGCTGAGCGGCGCAGAGTAAAACGGCTCCGACTCGGGCGCCGGCGCCAGCCTCGCTGGTGATGGAGAAACCAGGAGCGTGCAACAGCAATCTCCTTCACAGCGTTCATGGCCAGGGCGGAACGGCGGTCGTGGCGGGCCGCCCAATTAGACCGGGCGGCGGCCGGCCGGCACCGATCCGGTATCCGATGGCCTCAGCGGACGGCGCGGCGGGCCACCGCGGTCAGCCGCACACCGGTTTATCTGAGACAGGTGTCCACAGTGGCGCGGCCCCTGGCGCAGCTGTGGGAACCAGGTCACATGCGGCCGACCGGCACTTCATGCAGCTCTCGTAAAAAGGTGCTCGGGGGACGGACGAAAAAGCAACACCTCCCGAGGCCCGGCGCCGTGCAGCCACTATTTCGTTGCCTTTCACTCAGACAACAATGTCTGTCAGTGGGTGATGGAGAGATACAGCGAGTCTTCGATGGCACCGCACTGAGCAACGGAACGCCGCTTCTGTCTCGCTTCACACGAAATCAGACAAACGGCACTTTTACCGTGTTCTGACAGGTGGAGTCCCTGTGCAGCCGCCAGGAACACCGTTCGGCCGCTACCATCATCCCCGCCGCCGCTGTTCGATATTCATACGTCGCGCGCCCCGGCGACATCAAAGCGTGCCAGCCGGCTGACCGTTCCATCAGACCGGTGCGCTGGGGACAATGGGTCAGCGCAGAGGACACGGAGAGTCAGCTCGGCGCGGTGCCGCCGTCCACCGCCGGCCAGCTCACGGGAATGCATAAAACATGAGCGGCAAAAAACGGCCCGGTCAATTGACGGCATCCGCCGGTGGCACGGCCGGCTCGTGGCCCGAGCGACGACTGGACGGTGTTACATCACGCCCCGACCGGACTGCGGAGCGCTCTCTCCCAGCCCTGTAACAGTGCTACCGCCCCGGTGATGGCAGGGGTCAGGGTGACGGACAGGACAGCGGACACATGCCATCATCCCGTGCCACCCCTCATCTCCCCACCACACACGGGATAGACTAGAGTGAGGGGCCGCCATACGGGCGGGGACACGGCAGGGGACTCGCGGCCAGCTGACCCGCTTCCGCTCGGTGTCGGGTAGCCCGCTCCCCGGTCACGGCCGGGGTGACACCGGAGTCGGGACGCGTGTCACCGCCGGCTGCACCGCAGGGGAGGGTGGGGGCATACCGCCGCCGCCGGGACGCCACAGAGGCGGAGGGAAGCCGAGTCACAGACCACCACCCCTCCCTCTCCCCAGTCCACAGGCCGGACCGGCGGCCTTGGTGGCCGCTGCCGCTGCCAGGGGCGGGCCGCCGCGGACAATGCCGTGAGAAAGGGTGACAGCCACGCCCCGTGACGAAGTCGGCATGTGGCCAGTGCCGGCGTACGTTGTGACGCCGTTAAAACGCCATCCGCGCCGGCTTACGGCCTATTGTTCTTGAGGTCAATTTACGGAGACGCTCCTCGGGTCAAGGAGACTGGGGACATCGCCAACTAACGACCGCCAGCCCCAGATCCACGAGCGCGACCTCCGTGCGGCGCGGCGGTACGCTCTCCAGCGCTCCCCATCAGATAACGCCGCGGCGGCACACGATACCCGCCGGACCGCCGAGCGGCCCGACAGGCCGGACGGCGCGGTGACGCTATGGACACCGCCACGCTCCACCTGACGTCATTCCCAGCGCGTGACCGGCGCGTCACGGAGATTCCGGCACGTCATGGGGGCCCCGTCACGTCATAGAGGCTCCGTCACACCTCCCCGGCACGCTGGCGATCACGATCACGGCTCAGTTTTCCCGCCGTGACACGAGTGACGCACGACCTCACGGCTCGGCCGACCGGCGATCGCACGTGGCGGGTTCGCTGACCGCTGAGACTACACCGGATCTTGGCCCGTGTCCCGGCACGAGGCGTGATGCTGCAGCCGCGAGCCGCAGCCCCGTGCCACCCTGCCAACGGACGGGATGACAGCATTGGAGAAGCTCAGCAGTTAGCAAAACCTGCCGTGCGCGCGCACGCACACAAACGCCAGATCAAGACCTGGCCGAGCTCCGTGACGTTCCCTGGATAGCGCACAGAGACGTCTCGGGATAGCCGCACAGTGACGGAGCACCAGTCATCTGACCCGGGATTAGCTCGGCGCAGTGACGGTGCGGTGACACGCCAGCCCGGCCGGGGTCAGGGACACGGGAAGATGAGAAGACCGACAAGGCGGCCGCCACAGCGACGAAGGCACGTAGTGCCGCGTTCAGAGTGATCTAAAGCGGCCACTGTGAATGGTCTCGACAGAGACGGATCAGTCAGCGGGGCTGCCAAACGACGAGCAAACGTGGGAGCTGCCATCCATCACAGAGCACTGGCGAACTGACCTGGTACCGCGGGGCCGTGGTGCCACCGCCGTCCCAACAACACACTCCACAGGGAGTCTCTGTGTGACTGACAACGGGCTCTCCAGCACACCTCACACTTCACACGGCACTGCCAGCAGCGTCCACGCAGCCAGCCTTACCGCCTCCGTCTCCACACTGAACTGTCAGTCGAGTGTCCGTTCGCCGCACAGCCCAGCCCGGGCCGCGCCGCGTCACCGCATGTAACGAGTCCATGGCGGCCCAGCCCGCCGTTGGAGGATGGGTTAGGCCCGGCTGCCGGCTGCAGATAAATCGAATTACCAGCTCGGCTGCGGAGTGGCGCCGTCAGCGGTCATGCGACCCCGACCCGACGACAGACCCTACCGATAAAACATGCGACAAGAGCCACGACACGACAGATCTGGGGTAAGCATAAATGAAGAGTGACGACGGAGAGCGACACCAAAAAGACATGATGAGCGGTGAAATGCTCAGAAATGCCTAGCAGGCCACCTCTAGGCTGGTTGGTGTGTCAAATGACACGGCGCACAGCGCCCGGGGCGTCCTCCCAGGCAGCTCCCATGGTCGGACGGTGGGAATCGGACGACCGATCGTAAAACGGACCGGTCCGCTGGGACAGAGCTACTGCGGCGCGACTGTCACCGCGCCGCGGTCATTTCACCGGGGTTATTTGACGCCGGCGCTCGCAGGGTCAGCGACACGAGTGAGCCTGAAATGATGAACCCGGCGACCGTAATTATCCGGGCCAGAACAAAATATGAAAAGTAAGGGTGTAATGTGAGACGCGAGCTGCTTTTAACGACACCAAAAACAAATGTTAAAAAATTGCAGGTCTAGCTTGATTTATTTGAAAGAATCGTAGCTGACTGGTAAAAAGGCAAGGTAAAAAGGAAAACTCCAGACTGAATTACGACTCGCAGCACATTCTTCATACCCGACTCACGGGCGCCGCACCACTTTGAAACTTCAACTTGTCAAGTCACTTCAGCTGGCTTCTTATCATCCCAAGGTCTACAGCCCCTCCCCTCCCCCAAGTCCATCGACCAACGCCCCTGTCTGGACCGTTGCAGTATCATGTGGCTGGGTTCCCGAAACTGAAGATCACCGCGGCGCGGGCTAAGTTAGGCCAGACAGCGTTTCCGGGCTGGCGGTCGGCTGAATGACCGGGTCGCTGACACAGGGGGACGGCCCGTCACCGGGAGAATGGCCTCCGCCGCCCCTCCCACCGCTACCGGCTGTCTCAGCACGGGCCGCACCAGCGGGACGGGGGCGGCGCGAGGTCAGAGGACATCTCACTCAGCTCATCCCAGACCAGCTGCGTCCTACCGCTCTCCGACAAATGTCTCTCTTTATGCCGCCGACGCGCACTGCAAACTCTAAGGAAGGCTGTTAGCGGGCCTGCAACGTCCGTATATACAGCGCATTGCGTATCGCCGGCCCTGCCGACAGACCACCTAGCCGGCCGGCCGGCGGGGCGGCACGAACACAGCGATCACAGGGGCGCCGCATCGCGTGCCTGCAGTGGACAGTGGCGGGCGACATGCTGGTATGACGGCCGACAGCCGCCGAGGCCGTCTGGCGACCCGTGAGGACAGGACCCCACACGGGCTGCCGGCGCCGCGCCCCTGCCCCGAGCGCGGCGGCCGGGCCTATGCCGTGTACCGCGCAGCCGCTCTATGGTGTCCCCATGCTATCTATCCGCTCTGCCTCGCAGCTCGCCCCCTGAGGCGCATGGAGCGCTATCATATGTCTTGGGCAGAGAAGCCATGTCGCACTCCAGGGAGTCGCAGACGGTAGGGTTTCTAACCGACGGCCACAGTGTATCAAGCAGCAGAACTCAAGGTGGGGAGGGGAAGACAGCAGCGCCGAGCACCGTAAAGCTGCAACGGTAGCTGGGCGTGGCCATGTCCACAGCGCGGTCGTCTTCCGTTCACTGCAGAGGGCATCAAACGCCGTCCTATTCCGTGACGAGTAACGGACGCTCCTCCGGTCTCTGGGGTGGCCACTCCCGAGTCCGCGACAACTGACGGCCAGTCTCGCTGCCTCACCGTCACACCACGCGCAGCGCCGCTACCGTCGCGTCGGCCCCATCACCCAGCGCGACACTGTCGCCGACAGGTGCACCGACAGCCAAGTACAGTACTACCGAGTGTACTACCGAGTGTCATGTCGCCGACAGCCCCAGTTAGTAACCGGCTGGCTGTGTCCCGTCGCTTCCGCGCCGTCACCCGACAGGCCTTGGAGGTCCATCAGCGCCGCTCATTGCGAGTGCAGACTGCAATAAACGCCACTGGCACGTGACGACAGCGCCCCTGTCGACGGGGCGCCTGGCCGTCAACGCGGATGTAAGCCGAGGCTAAAAAGTATTGGCCATGCACGTTTCAATAGGACCATGTAGTAGCGATTAACGGCATCATAAATAACGTTTAATCGAACGTGTCCTAGACAAGTAGCAACAGAAGCAGCACGGCCGGGGGATCAGCATCAACAATCAGTCACGAATGATGTGCGCTATTTTTGCCGCTGACCGCTGATCGGCGCACAGTTCGCAGTCCAAGGCCAGGCGCAGTGTCGGGAGCCGCTTCCTGCCAGCTCAGCGCGGCCGAGGTGACCCTGGCGCACGGGGCATCTTTGTTGGGCTGGCGTGCCTCCAGGGCGCTCCCGGCGGGGGCTGTGCGCCGCCGTGCGGACGGACAGCAGCCAGGAGCGCCTCAGGGGTCACCGGCGAGCGGGCTGAATAAACAGTCCGGTCCGGCTCCCAGCGCGCACCAACACGACTCAACATATACAGGTCAGAGGCGTCAGACCGGGCCGCGGATCGAACGGCTGCCGCAGCACGCTACACCCGGGTGGCACTGGTGACCGTCCCTGCAGAACGGGCCCTGCTCGGAACATGGGCCCCAGCACGCACGAAACGGTGACAAATGGCACAGGAACGGGAGGAAATGCCCGATGTGGCATTGGAAAAAAGAGAAAACTATTATGGAAAGTAAAACAAGGTGCACGCCTAACTAAATACGGACGACCGTAGGACTTAAATCATTCGGCAACTAAGACTGTTGACCGAACTGAAATAAGACCAAGTAAGATCGATATCCAGCTGAATCAATCAAAATTATCCTCACCAGTCACGACTTTTTCTTTTCCCGATCGGTGATGACTATCGCCCACACGAATCTGAGATAGGTATTCCCCGATATTTCGGTGCGATTCCTTCAAACATTTCAGAAGGCTTTCAAAGTCCGCTGGGGCCATTCAACACCCCTCCGCTCCCGGAGTCTCATTAGCATATCGCATCTCCTCCTCTTTCCAATCATGCCACCACATTCTCCTCAATACGAGGCGTGAATTTACAACCATAAATCACACCACACCTCTCTCGTCCCTTGTTTTGATTCGCTCCCTCGTTATCAGAGCGCAAAATTACGCTGCCGGCTGATGAATGTTAAATGGGACGGCACAAGCGAACGGAAAGCACAGGCCGGTACCTAGTCAGCCCGCCGCCGGTCCGGTGGCGTCCCGTCAGACCCCGTCAGGGGAGGTGGCGGCTCGAACTGCCCTCGCGACAGCCGGCGCCCAGCTCAAGTCGCCGGTCCAGCGACTCGTCGAGCCAGTTATAGTTTCAGACACGCTAAAAATGCGCCCACATAATGGAGCAAGATTAAATAACCAGTCAAGCACGGCGTATTTGGAGCCGGCCAGTACCAGGAACGCGGTCGGTCTTCAGGACAAACACTAGTACAAACAGCGCCAATCCACCAGTTACTCCGGTCGGACCTGTGTTGACACACGATGCCCGATAGGCGGCCGCTCACAGACACCATGCCAGCGCCGACCGGCCTCACGGCTCATGTTTGATGCATGGCGAGTGGCGAGAACACGCTCGAAACATTGCACAAGGCACCACCTGTGCGACTGACCGCCGTAGAATGAAGCCGACTCGCTCTGAGCGTGATCGGTGGCAATTGCGGAGTCCAGGAAAAATTCACCATTAGCTCGATGTACTGAATGACACCGCACGGAAATGCATAACTGAATATGGTTTCCGGTATTGCAGAATGGTTGGCCCCGGATCGTGTAGGTCGTACGGTATAAACGTGCTCAGCGATCCGCGAGCATACCAACGGTGGGTCAGGACACGTCGGCACGACAGGATCAGCGAGACAGTTCGCTAACTGCACTTACTTTTTATCGGGTAACATGGAATGGACGCAGTTGAGCGAACAAGGCGAATGCAATGAAATGCGTGGAAACTGGAAGCGAATACTAAATCTAGGGATTGGATGTTTCCAGTGCAACCATGACTTCGGTTCAGTTCAGTTCATTGTATTTTATCATATGTAAACAAGAACAACGAACAAAACCTGAACCTGTGTTCGGTGACAACAAAGGAGGTGCCTACCAGGGTGTGTGAAGAACACCTGGGTGCAACTCACTCGGTTCTCCCCATGCCAGCAGCGCCCGCCGACTGACGAACGGAGAGTCTCTTCTCAGCGGCGCCGTACACCGCTGCACGCGGATGCTGAGTCGCCCTGCCGACGTCCGTCTCCGCGGGCGGTGCGACACTCGCGGCCAGGGTCGATACCGGGCGCAAACACAGCCAGTTGACCGGTCCTCTGCCGCTCCTAGCTGGCCATATCGGGAGGCCAGCTACAGTTTTACCATCACAGCAGTGGTGCCGGCTGCACCACGCCGCGCCCCGCACGGTCCCACAGCGCGGTCGGTGGCAGCGGCGGCACTGCGGGCCGACCCAGTCCCGTCTGACGCACGCTCTCCACTGGCGATCCGAGCGGGGCCGGGGCCGCCGCCCTCGGTCCTGGTCCGCCGCGCCAGTCTGTCACACACCCCGCCGCTCACCACACGCGGCGAAGACGGGCTATTCTGGTGCCGTGGACGCACCCGGTGCGGCACCTCCGCTCGCGCCGCGCGTCACCAGCTGATCTACCCTGCCGCCCCAGCGCCGGCTGCACCGCCGATCGCTACCGGCTTTCTCAAACGAGCGACGCAGCGCAGGCAGGGCCATCTGTTGGCGAATTGCAGAACGCAGAGTGTGGACTCTCGGCACCAAGCCTCGATCGAAGCATGCAGCAAGCAGGTATAAATCATAAATGCAAGCATAAATAAATGCAAGCATCAATCAGTGCAATACAAATTGGTAGGACTCGAGTTAATCGCAGCAAGTTTTGTTACAAGGTTTGTTTGTTTTGAATCCCATCTACCAATGAAGCGCACAAAAAGCATAAAAGCTACTAAGCGATCACCAGTTCGTAGCTCCCTAGGAGCGCAGAATTGAGCATACGCCTGGACCTCCCTCTCCATAAAAAAGAAATGTATCAGCGATTCTGTAAAGGTTATGATTTTTATGCAGCCATCACCAACCAGTGTCCAGTCGACCCAGGACTGCCCAGGACCCAGAAACTCTTGATGTCGATCAACAGTCCACACTTAACCCTATTCCTGGCGGGGGGGGGGGGCCTCAGGAGCCCCCCCCCCCCTGAGGTTTTTTGGTTATTTCTCCCAAACGCGTTGAGCTAGGAAGCTCAAATTTTCTGACTTTTCCTAAAAGGCTTCTACGCAACATGTCTGAAAATTTTAAGTTGATCTGACCTCAGGTCAGGTCACCAGAGGCGGTTTGGTGACCCTACCTCAGAAAAGTTTGCAATCACGCCAGAGCTAGAGTTTTTGACCGATCAATTTCTTCTCTTCAGGGTTTAGTTAGGGTACCAGTATGTGCAATTTGTATATCTCGGAATTTTGATATCGGTGACCTAAGGTCAGGTCAATTTCGCGACCTCCCCATTATAAGTCAATGGGGGAAAAATCAACTCCCTGTTTTTACCACTAAAACGGGTCGGAATGGCCCCATATACCATACATGACTTCATATACGATCAACCTTCACTACCTTGAGGTCTGTTTTGCTGTTGGGCAGCTGTGAGGTCATGTGACGTCATCAAAGGTCACCAAAGGTTTTTGGCCAATAACTCCGTACAGGAACAAGATACAGACGCGTGGATGGTCTCATTGTGTTCAGCTCGTCAAGACGCATCGAATGATATACATGATGACCTCGAGGTCACGTGACCTGAGGTCAACCTTTGACCTTGACCTTTCGAGGTCAACATATATATCATTCGATGCGGATTGACGAGAGGATCACGATGATGCCCTTAGTTTGTTCCTATCTTGACTAATTCGAAAGTTATTCGAGAAAAACTCTCTCCATATCTAGCGCCGCCATTTTGACTTTTTCGACCCCTGTGACGTCATCTTTGACCTGACCTGAAAATGACCTCAGTAAAAATTGTAGATCTTGGCCGTGCGTATCCGATGCCGTTTACCGCTTGTCGCTATCTTGCTTCGTTCTCGAGATCTCAGGGGGGGGGGCCGAATCGGCCCCCCCCCCCGCCAGTTTCTTGTCCCGGCGGAGCCCGCCAGGAATAGGGTTAACAACCATCGGTCAACTTGCATGCACGTATGTTTTACAGCACTCAGTAGTACCTACTTCTTCGTTCTGTTGCAAACCACCTGACATATTCCATGCAAGAATATTGTTTCCCAAGATGATTTTACCGCAAATTAGTCCTCCAAGTGGTCTAGTGGATACTATCCATCCCATCTGCGCCATCTGCCTTCGTTCTTGGTAGTTGGTGGCATCGAATCCGAGGCTGGAGAGAGAAAAGTCGTTTCAACCGCCTACCTAAATCCATCAAGCAAGCAACTGGCGAGAGAGAGAGAGAGAGAGAGAGAGAGAGAGAGAGAGAGAGAGAGAGAGAGAGAGAGAGAGAGAGAGAGAGAGAGAGAGAGAGAGAGAGAGAGAGAGAGAGAGAGAGAGAGAGAGAGAGACACGCTAGACCCGGAGGAACGTACAGCCGACAACTGTCAACTGTGGTAAGCTCAACTTTCGTTTAAATCATCGCTCTTAGGTATACCAAACTTCAGGATGCGGAGTCTCCACACTTGAGCTCCAGGTTCTACCTGCCCTGAAAGCAAATTGCCAATCATTAACTATGCAGTCTCATTATCTCCAAAAATAGCATTATCAGCAAAAATCAACATTCCAAACTGCACTTGGCAAGCAAGCAGGATACATGCAATATGGTCTTCAGTGACCTGACTCCCTTCCCTAAAACTGATACATAACTACATAATGAACCAAAGAATCGATACACTTATAGTTCGGAATTCCTATAACTTATGAACCGGAGAATTGATACTTACACTTATAGCTCGGAATTTTGAAAGGCCACTTGGCCTCTAGGATCCGGTCCTATCGAGCTCCTTGCAGTGTCCTGAGTCCTGACTCAGTCATTAAGGTGAGTTGTGTGTGTCCTGTCTACCTTTGAAGGCGTTTAGGCTGCGGGCATCGGCTACTGATGGCGGGAGGGAGTGCGTTCCAATCGTCGATGACGCGGAAGGAGAAGACAGTTCGGCGCACTCGGGAGACCGCCCTGGCCCTCGGTTTCGACAGCTTCCATTGGTGTCCGCGGTGTGTTGTCTGTCGCCGCCACCGCGAAGAACCTCTCCCTCTCGAGGTTAATCCCCTGTCGGCTGTCTCAGTCAGCACCTGGTAGACAGTTATATCGCCGCGGCGACGGCGATGGTAACGAGACGGCTGGTCGAGAATCCGTAGCTTCTCCTGGTACGGCTGATTTCGGATTGTGGCGACCAGATTCGTGGCTCTCCTCTGAACCTTTTCTACGCGCCTCTAGTCTACCCAATTAAAAGGTCCCCAGAATCCAGATGGAGTTGGTATATTCCAGCTAAGGCTGAACCTTTAGATTTCATAACAGCGATGGCAGAGTCCTTTTGTCTAGAAGGGCAAAGCTTCTGAGGATCACAGACAGGATGCACGATGTCTTCAAGATCGCTGTGGCTGCCTGCCCACAGAGCTTGAGTTGATGCCTGATGGTCGATGTGGATTTTTAAGATCACTATCCACTGAGGGCTGGTTCATTTGTGTGTTGCACATACTGTAGACGTGATTTTCATTGCAGGGGCCCAGGTACAGTCTGAAAAGTACCGTGCAAAGTAACAGTGGATCCATCAAGCCTGACCGAGGAAGGGCCTGCCATAATTTGAAAGTCGCCGAACCAATTGACCTTGGGAATGGACGAGGATGTCAATTGCTTCGGTGACTCAAATTTAGCAGGCCCTTCCTCGGTCAGGCTTGATGGATCCACTGTTACTTTGCGTGGTACTTTTAAGACAGACTGTACAGTGACTTGCATTTTGCTCTGTTGCAGTTAACCCGCGCCCCGTAGGGCTACCGGCGGACCCTACCACCCGTAGGGGGGGGGGGGCCGTTTCGGCCCCCCTAAGATCTCGGAAAGTTACCGGCCGATTTTCAAAATTCAAACGGCATTTGATAGCCCTACCCGGGAACTACCTTGTGACCAAATTTCATTGACCTAGGTCAAACCGATGACGTCACAGGTCAGGTCAAAGGTCAGATTTTCACCGTTCACAGGCAATTCAAGAAATGTGCTGTGAAATCGAGTAAATTGGTAATTTATTGAAAACCATCAATGGTATATTGTTCGTCAAACACATACTTTGCTATCTGAGGTCACTGATACCAGGTCAGGTCACAGCGAGGTCAGGTCACCGGGGGTCACAATATGAATGTGTCGTGTGATACATGTTTTATGGTCCATTTTACATGACAAATGCGATTATGTGGGTTAGGCAGCCTTTGGGGCCAGCCTAGGTCACGTTTTGGTGAAGGTCAGGTCAAGGTCAGGTCAAATTAGGTCAAATTTCAAAGTTGATATTTTTGCATAAAATGGGTATCCATTCGATGCAGCTCGTCACGGGGAGTCTAATGGTGGTCTTTGTTTTGCTCTACGAGTTCTAGAATTGCCAAAAATTGAGTTTGAAAATTTGACGTCATCATTTTTGAACAGTTTTTTCGATATAACTTGGCCAAAAAACGAGGTATCGATCTGAAATTTGGTATGTAGATAGAAGACGGTAGGTACTATCACATATATTCCGGTTTTTTCGAAACTCAAAAAACTTTTTGGATTTTTTGGCTAATATATCAAAAAAAAATGCTTTTTTGATTTTTGGGGATCAAAACTCAAAAATTTCAAAAATCCGAGATAGCAGTTTTGTAGCCCTGTCAATTCTACACCTTTTATGTCTTGATCATTTTGCTGTATCTTCAAAGCTGTAGGCCTGACAGGTCTTCTCGCGAAGGTCTTTTTTCGGTCGAAAATGACAGAACATGACGTCACTCTGACGTCATTTGTGGCCAACCTATCACAGCCTCTGGAAAAATTTTTGGTCACAATGTGTAAAATTGATGCCCGGAGGGGTCCTGAAAGTTTGGTGGCGATATCTCCAGCCGGTCAGGAGATATCGACCGAAAAGGACAGGGGGGGGCCGTTTCGGCCCCCCCTACGGGGCGCGGGTTAAACGGCAGTTGCCAACAATCTGATCATTCAACAAGCCTATCTAATTCAGCTAGGAGGGTGGTGAGAACATCTCATCAGTTTCAATGCACACAGATATGAGATAAGAGGTACTTTCAAACTGGGCTTTTGTCATGTCATCAACAGGCCTTACCTGACAGGTTGGTTGGTTGGTTGGCTTGGGTTAAGCACCACATCCAGTGGACCAAGGCCCTAACCTGAACTCTCACGCTGTTCCAAGCGGTCACATAGCGGCAATGCCACGTGAATTGCCCGGGGATCGAACCCGGATGGCCCAATCTAGAGGCAAGTAACGCACCCCGGTATTTATTTACTTTAGGTCCGCAAAACAGAGGGGTAAATAAAAGTCATTCACATGATACTCTAAGACCTCCTGATTTCATTTCTGATACTTATTCCTTCTAGAAACCAATTTAAAAGAACCAGTACACTAGTATCACCAGTATCACCACCAACGGCCCCACCTCCGACCGGAACTGCACGTGTCAAAAGACCGTCTGCGCGGCGCACCCGCTACAAATGGTCCAACCAAGGTTGAGCGAAATTACGGATGATAATAAATTGTAAGGAAAGTGACGTCAAAATAATCGAGGCGGAGCGGTGCAGTGCCGAAGGCAATGCCTTAGGAGAGATTACAGGCAATGGTAAGTCAAATATTTTTAGGTTAAGTGGTTGTGTATCTGGCTTCAGGCTGAAGGCCTGAAGCCTGATGCATAACCACTTAACCTAAAAATATTTGACTTACCATTGCTTGCAATCTATTCATGCAAGTCACTTTTTCCTTTTCCCCCAGTAGGCAAACATCAGTAGGTCAGGTTAGGTAAGGTTTGGTTATGTTCTGATCATTTTCTCATGCTCTATTACCTTTGCTAAATGTTTTCTCTTTTTTATTCACCGTTTTTCTTGTGCTTTGGTATTATGACGTCATTTTCATAACGTCGAAAACTAATGAATATCCGCATCATTTTTTTCTTTTATAGGGCAGCGTTGTATGTTTCGTTTTTGTCGCGGAAGCGTGCTTTCTTCAGTGTATATTGTGCAGCAGTGCGGTGTAATGTGCTGGGGTTTTAGTATCTTATTTTACATTTTTGATGCATTTAAGCATCGTATCTGAATTCAGGACATCAAATAGTGTAAGAATGTGCATTTTTTCTTGTTGAAATAATATTGCGGACCTAAAGTAAATATTTACCTGTACCCCTAGGCTGGAATGCTCCCCCTTACCTGACAGGTAGATATTCCAGGTGTCGACACCAGGCCACCAGGGTTACAAAAAGTTGACACCACTGTTTTCAATTTAAGAGCTCATGTTGATGTAAGCTGTAGCACTTGCCCGAGTGGCTATCAGAAAGCATTGAGTGAGTCGAGTGAGTCCAACATTTCAAGACCAAGTCAAAGTTGCAGCTCAAGCTGCAGAGTAGAGTGGTTAGCAACCTTCATGCTCTACTCAGTTTCCAAAAACCTTGGGTGTCGTGCCGAGGGAAGGTGTATCCCTTACAAATAACGGCAATAACTCCGATATCAAAAATGGTCATTTATTTCGGGGTCACCCCTCACGCCACGCACCCGTTCCGTGTTTTTGTGGTGACGCCGCTACGAAACGCAACACGGATGCCAGCGCCAGTTTCGTCTCACAAAATAAGGCAGTCACATTCTAGAGTTCAGTGGCAGTCATAAAAATAAATCTGAAGATGACGTTATTATTTTCCTTTCTACATTCAACTGCATTTTTAAGGATGGCATCACCAAAAAAGTTAACTAAATTGCAAACCTATGAATACTTTCTTTCACATAAAGTGAAATGGTGAAACGTGGACATATTATTGAAATAATAGTTGTAATTACGTCAATCAATATGTATTATTTATGTGTACTTTTCATTAGCCTTAACCATTAAAGCGCAGTCACATCACACTGACCAACACTGACTGCGATAAGTTGAATGAGAGTGGTTGAACTTGTCCATTATTTATAAATTATATGCTCCAATATTTTCGTATATTCACCGCATATGCATCGGCTTAATAGTTACTTTTTCTTTATCAAATGGCAATGCATATTTTAAAAGACTCTGCTTGCCGTTTCAGTCGCAATTGAACTGGCTGGTCCGCTCAGGGGTCCGCTGGTCAGTATGTTCGATGACGTCAAATGACGTAGGTCCTTGCTTTAGGGCCTTGGGTCCTTGCAATATCACTTGGCAATGTGAAGCAGGCTAATAGTTGACGATTGCGAAATTATTTTTGGTGGCCCTCTGATGATGCGTTATGTGGTGAATGGGGTGACTGATTCTGAAAGGTCAGGAAAGGTGAGGAAAGGTGAGGTACTTTTTGGTTATTTTATGCTGTATTTAGGGCCTTGATTTTATGCTAAGTTCAGTGTTTGCTGATGAGATTGTTTTTTTTTTTACGTTTTTAATGAGACGAAATATGTGCGTCCAATTCAAATTGTGGTTCTCTGATTCAGCCGTTTTCCTCAAGTGGATAAGGTCCTTTGTCTTGATTTCGTTCACTTTTGAAACTGTGGAAAATAGCACAGATAATCAGATAATCTCATTTTGACATTGCCTACCAAAATACAAGTAATCACCTTTTGTTCCTAGTTGATGGCTAATTTCCACAGATGTTGCATCTCACCAAGCAATTTGTGATGGGAACCAAGGCCCTATATACCAGAGGGCTGTTCAGTGTTCACTGGCACCACACACTGCTGCGTGCGGTGTGTGCGGCATGTGCACCAGGCGTGGGGGTAGGGGAGGGGTAGTCAGTATGACGTCACATCAATTGGGGAAACTACGAGGAGCCAAACAAAAATTGGATTAGCCAATCAGCGGCTGGAGTGGGCAGGGCGATGACCATATATGGTCATAAAATCAGACAACTTCATCTTTTCAATGAATCCTAGCATTCAAATGAAAAAATAAGGCATAAGAATGTTTTTTAACCACACAAGGCCTACACTCACTCGGTGCATAATTGCCTACCCAATGGGACCCACACTCAGGCATAGGGAGCGGATGCCAGTAGTTTTCCTTAACTGTCATCCACTATCCATACAAATTGACTGCACTCAAAATATCAGTAAGATTCTATTAAAATACAAATTGAAATACCTACCTATCGTGGCTCAGGCTGCCACATCAACATGTGTTAGGCTCTGCTCATAGTTCTGCCCACATGTGTGACGTAATTCGTGGTAGTGGACCCACACTTATATGGGGGACAACATGGGCCTAATGAAAACTATCTTCATTGTTGACTGTTGTCCTTTGTTGCAGACTACTTGTGTGAGCATCCAGTGTCTCTGTCAGAGATCACAAGGGCAATGGTAGTTGGCGGCTGGTGACCCGGTATGGACCAGAGCCAAGCTCCTTGCATTGAACTGTCTATGAATGCAGAGGAGCGCCAGCGCACTGAGTCTACTGCCTCAAACACCAGCACCACCTCCGATCAACCTTTACTGCCAGACGTCGCCTTCGGGCCCTCATTCATCAAACTGGGCTCACCACGCCCTGGACGTGAAAACCAGCCCCTGTTGGGTGGCGGCATGGATTTCGACTTCACCTTCAATCACTGGCCAGGTGAGTAACCAGGTAGATGCTAGACTGCAAAGTATCTACCCATGGCAGCAGAGGTGTAAAGTCATGCTGGAAGGGGGACAAATCCATGTTTGCGCCAGCTTGCTTCAACTAGGCTGGAAAGCTGGCTTATGCATCAAGTTTAACATGAGGCATATCAACATATTCAGATATGGTCCACCTGCTAGCCATTGGGATCTAAGGTGATGCAGCCTCTACCTACCACTGCCACCAACTGCAGGCATGTTACCGCCCCTGAGAAAACGCAGCTCTGTTTTATTGCAGCCCATACAGAGTGTCCAACATTGCTCCGTCCATGTTGCAGAGGATGCAGAGTTCACCGACCTGGTGCGACAGGCAGAGATGGCCGTCGAAAACGGCATCTACCCGGAGAGGATATACCAGGGCTCCAGTGGCAGCTACTTTGTGAAAAATCCCGAAAATGTGAGTCAGTATGTGGGAGTGAAACAACCCATTACTTTTTCTGTGTTTTTTTTTTTGTGTGTTTGTGTTTGACTTGTAGTCGTCCGTTTGTGTAAGTAACTATCTGACCTGTGTATTGTAGCCATCAGTTTGTGTAAGTAAGTACCCAACCTCAATGTATGTCTATAGTGGTTGTGTGTGTGTGTTTGCATGCGTGGAGGATGTTTTACGTTTTATGACAACTGGTAATCTTACGATGTTGTTTTGCTAGATGGTGTTGACAGGAGTCTGTATGACACTTGGCGATTTCACATCGTAAAATGTGCCGTGTTTACTGATAACCTTGAACCATATCTTTCGTTGATATTCATCCCACAAACAGTAGTGCGCTTTTGTCATGATACCTACCGCAAGGTTTGTTTTTCTGCGATTATTGAAAATTTAATGCGTTTTTAACGTACAACTAGTTCATCACGTTTTATCGGCAACAAAACCCAATAGGTTTGCTGATATGGTTCGGCGCGTGGTGTTTGTCAACCGATAGATAAGACGTGGAAGCTGTGTGTGAATTGTGTGTTGATCTCCACCCTGGCGATCAGACCTGACCGCTGTATTTTCTGCCTCGGCAGAAAGTCATCGCCGTGTTCAAACCCAAGGACGAGGAGCCGTACGGCCGGCTGAACCCCAAGTGGACCAAGTGGATGCACAAGCTGTGCTGTCCGTGCTGTTTCGGGCGCTCGTGTCTGGCGCCCAACCAGGGCTACCTGTCCGAGGCCGGCGCCAGCCTGGTGGACCAGAAGCTGGCGCTCAACGTCGTCCCCAAGACCAAGGTAACCGAGCCGCACCGGCCGGCGTCGGATCGTACCGGTCCCGCAGGCCGGCACACAGCGGCAGCGCCGCGACGGCGTTTGTTTATCCTGCGCCGGGCGTCTTGTAACGAGTCATGGATTTCGGTGGCCCGTCTGGGATGTAGTAACCGGTGGTTTCTGGTGCGTCTCGGGAGGTGGCCCAGTGACACAGTGGTCGGTGGGCACGTGATCGGTGTTTACCGTGACACCGCCCGGCCCCGGTGCTCGAGTCCTGGTCTGGCTAGCGGACCGGCAGCCCCTCGCCGAGCCGCTCTGTCGGAAATGGTGCCATAGTTTCGTCAAAGAATGCCGTCATCTCGGGCTGGCCGGATAGGAAACGGTGTTTGTTTATGAATAGCTTCCGGTATCCACGGCTGGAATTTTATATCCCGACGTATCAAGAGCGACTTTCAAATGGGGATAAAGTGTATTTGGCGTCATCATAATCTTTCAGGGCTAATATTGATTGTACCGAATTACCTTTCTCGGACCTAATTACATTTCGATGATGTCTGGTTTTAATTAGAAACTTAATACCGTAGTGGCCTACTTCATTAATCTCCGAACAGCGGGCTGGGCGACTTAACTGGTCATGAAACGTTGACACTCTCCCGGCAGCTAGACATTGGTTGCACAAAAGTACGAAATTTCGCATGCAATGTACAGTCTTGGTCTAGAATATCACTACGCCCGTTTGGATATAATGACGCAAATTTATTGAAGACGCATAGTAACATACAGCAGTAGCGATAGTGGTACGTACATAACAAGGCGCGTCTTATAAGTGTGGCATTGTTTGGTTCTTTTTGTATCAGACTGGTGTTTGATTCATCTGTGATTGAATCGATTGGATTGAATCAAACAAAATTTGTTGAATCAAAAAGGTTTGATTCACCGTCAGGATTGTTTGATTCACAAGCCATGATTGAATCAAACGCATTGGGAATCAGGGTTGATTGAATCAAAAAAAAATTAATGATTCATGAACTTTAAAAAAAATTGAAGTGAACGAACATAGCTCATTATCAACAAATATTGACACTACTGCCATTACATGACAACAAAAAGAACACAACAAATACAATACTATCCCTGATATTTTGTATATTTTATTTTTTAACTGAATTAAAAAAGAATCATTCAAAAAAAATTGGCTGAATCAAACGTGAATCATTCTTTTTATTGTTTTTGATTCTCTGAATCAAAAGGAATCGATTCACCAAATTTTTTGAAGGAATCAAAGGGTGATTGAATCAAACAAAAATCAAATGAATCAATGATTGAATCGATCCAAAAAAGTGAATCAAAAACCAGTCTGTTTTGTATGTATTTTGACCGTAACTGAGTATCTGTAGGTCTGTGCAAGGTCCGACTAGCTCACTATGCGGCTCCTGACTTTCAAATCGATTATCATTGCGCATCTCCATCGTTCTCTGCGTGCTACGCTTTTTCTATTTAACAGTTTTTACCGCGACCTGTTCCTGTATCTTTGTTGACTCGGTCATTCTGGCCGCTACAGGTGGTCAAGCTGGCCAGTGATACCTTCAACTACACAAGAATCGACCGGGAAAAGTCCCACCTGAAACAGATGGTCTCGGAGAGGTTTCCCAAAGTGGGACGGAAATTCCACCGACTGGGACTGCCTCCCAAGGTAGGCTCTCTCCCTCTTGGTAACAATCCAGTGCGTGATTTACTGAGGTATGTTTCGTGGCATAATGCATGGTCATTTGTTACCAGGAACGAGTTAATGGCCTGTTGCTATGGAATGACGTAGTTCGTTTTTTTGTGGGTAGGGGGGGGGGCAATGGGTGTAATGGTCATGTTCGAGTCCGTAGTCGCGGGCAATCATATATAAGCTCGTAATGTAACACCACTGATTACGCCGTCGGATCCTCGGTGATTACCCATTGCTACATTAATATAGACCGTGCCTTTTGATGGATGGATACAGATGGATAGACCGTGCCGGATACGTTGTTTGCAATTTTTTATTATTATTCGGGGGCATTTGCTAGTGACTCGATACACACAACAACAATGAGTTGGCTGGTATATGTGATTTGCCATTTGGAATGTTGGTGTGTCGCTTGGGTTACGTGTTATCACGGTGATGCATGAATGCGTGTCCATTGCCCCTACCCACCCCAATGTCGCCCCAGTTAGCAGAGCTCCGACAGCTTTCCAGCTTGACAGTAAGCCGTCGCCAACAGCCTGCTGCCGCCCGCTACCCGTCTCCGTTGGCATTTGTCGCCTCACTGCTCCTTGTCGCCGACAGCTATCTTCTGACTACCCCCGCTGCTCGTCAGCAACAGCTGTCTGACATCCCCTCGTCCGTGGCTGCGGACAGGCGGGTTCGTTCCATCTGCCTTCTAACACCTCCCCCCCCCCCCCGCACTCTGCGTCAGGTGGGCTCGTTCCAGCTGTTTGTCGAGGGCTACAAGGACGCCGACTTTTGGCTGCGCCGGTTCGAGCAGGAGCAGCTGTCGGACGAGCTGCAGACAGAGTTTCAGCTGCAGTTCGAGCGGCTGGTCGTGCTCGACTACATCATCCGCAACACGGACCGCGGCAACGACAACTGGCTCATCAAGTACAACCAGCCCGACGAGCGCCAGGTAAGGAGGAGGTCGAGTTAGATGTGAGACCGGCGGTGGGTGAGGTGTGAGACGAGACGGGCGACAGGTAAGGGGTCAGAAGGTGAGCGGTGAGACCGGCGACGGGGGAGGTGTGAGACGAGACGGGCGACAGGTGAGGAGGAGGTCGAGTGAGATGTGAGACCGGCGGCGGGTGAGCTGGTGTGAGACCGGCGGCGGGGGAGGTGTGAGGACGAGGAGCGAGACAGCGACGGCTGATGTGTGAGACTGGCGACTAACGATAGGTTTTCCTCGACGTAACCGGTGGACTGCTAGGGGTGTATTTGCCGCGCTGGATTATAATTGGAAGCAACGTCGTAAATGTCTATACGTGCGTTCCTACGTATGTGACTGCCGAAGACTTCCTTTTCACGTGACATTTCCTTTGTCACACGGGTATGTTTTTTAGGGCATAGGTGTCGAGCTAGTTCTTCTTTCTAGGTCATCAGTTGTTTCCGAATATAGAGCTGTCAGATGGAATGGTAAGCCATGTATGAGACGGCATATAACCATCAGTTACAGCTGCCGGCTTCGTGTTTTTCGTCGTCAAGGGCGTCGGTAATAAGCTACCCAGCATTAACGATGCATAACTACCACCTGACTAATGATATACATTCTATTGTTATGACTCTGTCTATTTGTGTGCCTGTTTTTTAAGGTCTGTCACATTCAGTCATAGTGTACTGCTTGTATTCCTCACCGTTTTTTTTTTTAATGTTCGTCTGCCGAGAACCTGGCAATACCATCTTAAATTTATTTATCCCCTCGAGAACTGTATTACGGGATAGTGCTTGTCGACCATTTGATTTATACGCTACCACATGTTTGTCGTGTGTTCGATGACGGGTGCCAATCTGTCGCGGACGTCATGTGCCTTATCGGCTCCCTTCGGATGTCCGCTGTGTTGATACGCACCACACTGAATGTCGAGTCCGTGCGTTATTTGTTACCTTGGACCGCCGATTTACTTTTTTAATTGTTTTTCTCTGCTATCAACAGCATTTCTTCTTAGCAGCACATAGATAAAAGTGATGGGAGAACTCACGGTGACTGAGCAGCCTGTTGGTGATGTGGTTTTCTGGCTAATAATCTAGAAAATCTCTATCGTATTTTCTCATGTTTCACTCCACTATCACTCTCATGGATGGGACGTGGGTAGGGACGTCCGTGTACGGTGTACCGTGTTATCACAGGTGTGGGCCGCCTGGTGACACCTCCCCCCTCCCCTCAGAGCGGTGACGGCGGCGGGCCGAGCCGCCCCTCGGTGAGGGTAGCCGCCATCGACAACGGCCTGGCGTTCCCGTTCAAGCACCCGGACTCTTGGCGCGCCTACCCGTACCACTGGGCCTGGCTGGCCTGGGCCAAGCGGCCCTTCTCCACGCAGACGCGCGACCACGTGCTACCGCTCATATCCGACATGAACTTCGTGGAGGGCCTCTGCGAGCAGCTGCACCGGCTGTTCAAGGTGCGTGACGCGGAGAGGAGGGAGGGTGACTGGTTCAGTTCAGTTGATTTTATTGAGTAACAAAAAAAAAAAAAAACAATTAGCAAGTTCAGTCATGGTGCATCGGTGCAAAAGATAAACTTAAATTAAAGTGCCTCTTCCAAATGAACACAAACGTGACGACAATCGCGCACCTGGGGCCAGCCAGTACCGACCCCGCCAGGAGCCCGCCGAGCAACCCCGTGGACCGGTAGGGCTCCTGGACGCCGGGCAGACCCAGTCCGGTCAGCTGGTGGCAAGGGTTGATGTCTTGAGTCAGGATGTTCTGGTTGGTCTGGCAGGGAATCGTTAAGTGCCGGTCCGCATTTGTCTATCGGTATCGAGACATGTGCTACTTAATTTTGATGCGTCAAAGTTATAGGGACATCTCTGTATTTATCAGCTTTACTCTCTAGGCAGGTCATTGAAAATAGTTTTTCCCGCCCTAAAATCAAAACCGTTTCCAACAGCAAAAACTCAATGAAGTGAAGGTTTGCAGTTCCCACTTCCCAGCGCACTCGGAACGCATGGGACAGAAATGCCATTTGAAGAGCATCGAAGAGCGGTGCCTGCCTACAGTGCCTAGTTACAAATGGTGCATGCCATGGCGATGGCCCAAATGTCCATACCATTGGCATATCAAGTTAGATAATAGATATTGCCAATGGTTTGTGTCATCTTCGCGATTGGCTGCCACTTTTCATGTTGACGTAAGAGTGTAAATGATCTTTGTAACGTAATTCATTCATTGGTTGTCGCACGACACACGCGGAAATTCCCACCATTCGGTATACAGTGAATATAACAGAGGATAATAATTCTAAGATATTACTCATCAGGACATCCTTGGTTCTAATAAGTGACAACTTTGAGTTACAGTGCCACCCACCAGTGACACCGCGCTATCATTAGTGCTGCGTGGTTACGCCAGGTTATCATTTACTTCTAGCCGGCTTTCCGAGCCCACGGACATTCCAAACACGTTGCATGCGCTCCATTTTGCCGATATTGCCGTCATGCCGCTTCAAAAGGCGTCCATTGTCAATTGGCCAGTGACCATCGTGTCGTTTTAAGGAGGGTGCGGCGATCCATAGCTGCCCGTCCCCTGTCCCGGTGACCGGAACGTTAGGACCTCGAAGTGCGACGGTCTTTGCTGCGAGCGCTTCTTTAAATAAAGGGAGGACGAGTGAAAATGCGCTGGTTGCGTGGGCCGCTACGCATAATTGCGGCAGCTAGACATTAATCAGCTGGCTGAATTAAGCTGCGATGTCACGCCAATGCCTAAATAAGTAATGAAGATCGCCACTCGAATGGCCGTGTTCTATGGAAACTGAGCGCGGTATAACTGCTAACAACTCGGTGGAATGTGTTGGTTTGAACGACTTGGCTGCCGGTTAGAGTTCTGCACGGCTGCAATTTTCCACAGCCTAGCCGCCCCGCAGCCATGGCTCCACAGCCACAGCCGCCCACAGCCGTGGCAAACTGTGGGCAGCCAGCCGTCAGCCGGCCGTGGATACTTTCAATGAAATGCAACCAAATAGTATATATAAGTTGTTTTTAGTTGAAACATATAGCCAAAAGCACATTGCAATGGGCTATAGATTCTCAAGCTCATGAAGCATCATAGGTTAAGTGGTTGTGTATCTGGCTTTAGGCCGAAGGCCTGAAGCCTGATGCGCATCGCATGCTTACACAAGCCCTTGCAAGGGGTTAAGAAAGATGGGTAGGTAGGTACCTACATCAACAGAAAACATAAACAACGAACCAGAATAGAAGCACTAGCAGTGTAGACATCTAATGCCAAATCCTGAAGCATGGTTGTGGGACAGAACAACAGACCCTGATGCTTTTCATTATCAATGTTAGGTATGGAAAATGAAACTGAAGTTGATGGACTGTCAAACAGTGATTGTCTAGTCAAAACTCTTGCTTCTTTCTCACCTTGCATATTATTTGGGGTGTGATATGCCAGGCTTGAAGCAGCCTTCTGAGCAAGTCTCAAATACTAATTTGATATGCAAGGCATCACAACACTAGTGAGCATCCAAGAAAGAAAAACATTCATCTATTTTGATTTTTCCAAATAATGATCTTCGCTCAAATCGTCAAGGACGTGCGAGCCACAAGTGCCTCTTTCAATCAAAAATTTTACTTCAGTTTTTAATGACGTCAATAGCAAAGAAGTGGCAATGAATTGTTTTGTGTCACTATAAACAGCCATGAAAAGTATAAATAATAAATAATAATGCTATACAACTAAAAACTTGCTCTCAAACAAAGATTAATGGTCAAATTTTAACATTTTTAGAAGAAGATGTCATTTTATTAGTAAAGTCAACAGCTCGCGTAAGAAATATTGTGTTCAGGGTTTTCACCGTCATGTGAATTACGTGTTCAGGGTTTTCACCATCATGTGAATTAACCGTGAGTAGGGTTCATGCTCACTTGTAATCTAATTCCATTGGCTTCTTTGATCAGCATTTTCTGTTAGCGGTCACTCACACACCAGTTAGAACATAAAACGCCAGTTTTATATTATGTAATTGGACTTGCCGAAAATCCAGAAATACGTCTGTTATTTTAGATAATATTTTATGAAGCCTTTACCTGCCTTTACCTAGGCGTGATTTCTTTTTCTATTACCTGAAAGAATTATTGAACGCTCGTCTTCAATAGCTGTAAGGTGCTCTCCTAATGACCAGGTGAGATTGATTTGAGAGGGATGTGACAATGCAACATGTTGCATTTTCTGAAACTGCCAAGCTCTTGATGATGAAGGAACAATTGGTACATATAATTAGTATTCTGTACCAGAGTGCAAACTCCCCTACAGCAAATGGTAAAACCATTACAGGTTTTCAAAGGCTTCACCACTTTCAATGTTGCTGGGCATCCTTTGCATGATTTTTACAGGCTAGACTGCTTATCAGAATGTAAGATTAAGGATTTAAAATTTTATATTTTGATTTGAGTACTTAAGATTGAGCTTGAAATCTCACAGCCGTGGCCACAGCCGTAGCCGTGTTCATTGAGATATTTGCAGCCGCCCCGGCCCACAGCCGTGGGGCTGCAGCCAGCCGCGGCTGCAGCCGGCCGGTGCAGACCTCTACTGCCGGTCTCTCACTCGCTCTTTCTTTCCCTTTCTCTCTTTTGCTGCTCCCCGGACGCGATATTGTTTGAGCAGACATGACATATTCGTCAGTCATTCTTCCGCGGCTCAGACTGCGTTTGGAAAGCGTCCACTGTGAATTGCCTCTTGTCACGTCAAATGACGGGGACATCGCAGCGACTTTATGCTCTTTAAAGATACATGGTGTATGGGGAATGGAAGACGGCGCGGGAATGGACATTTTTACCAGGATGTGGGTATTTTGAACGCGATTGGGTCGTCGGAAATGCTGGGTATCATGGTGAACCAACATGAAACCGAGTCAGGGCCACGTTGATAGGGAATAATCCAGCTCAGCTTTACTGGTTTTGCACGTACCTACCTACCGTTTTTGCATCGGCGTTGAACTAGTGACAGCGCTGAATACGGTGCAACAGCGCCACCCATCGAGAGGTTTGAATGGTTGCGTTACATATGCTGTCCTTGCACAGCAAAGTGGTGTTTTCGTAGGTGGCTAGTCTGCCAGTGAAGTAGTTGCAGACTGTGAGATGTGTTACTTTGTTGCCGCGGTAACGTGCTTGCCTTCCACGTGTTTTATTTTTCATGCGTAAGTGGAACTTAACTCTTTGCTCAGCAAATGCCCCTGTATTATTCTTCATTTCTGAGAGGCAGTATGGTATCGTGAAAATATGTCATGATTTGCGGTCCGAGTGAATTATTAATGGATAGGTACACTGAGCACTCACGAGACCCTGGGTCGCTCAGGTGCCTTACGGCCGGCTATAGGGTCACATATGGTCCATATGCAGACTGCCTCAGTGCGATGCCAGCTGGCCGCGCGAAGCTACCAGGATGACCACTGACCATTGCTTTGTCCTCCCTGCAATGCCACCTAAGCTTGTGTATTTATTTATCCCAAGTCAGCAATAAACATACGCTTCAAGTACTGCAGACACTTACTGTTTGTATGTAAGACAACATTGAATGGGTTTTGTCAAGCTGCCGTGTGCGTGACGTCACCAGTTTGATCATGACGCCAGCATTTTGCCTCCCCACAGACGGACCGGGGTTTCGACAAGCAGCTGTTCGAGCACCAGATGTCGGTGATGCGGGGCCAGATGCTGAACCTGGCGCAGGCCCTCAAGGACGGCAAGAGTCCCGTCCAGCTAGTGCAGATGCCCGTCGTCGTCGTCGAAAAGTGAGTACCGGCTGGCAGTGTCTTGGTGGGATTATAGTGTTATCGAAGCAGTATCACGGCATTTTACGATATCGTGGTGAAGATATGACGATGGTTTTGACGCCGCTGCGGAGTCGATGGATTTTTGGTGACTCCGACTCCGACTCCGGTCAAATATGTCAACTCCGATCGACTCCGCAGCTCTGGCTTTGACCGATCTTAATATCCCGTCACCAGAATACCTTGACTCGTGGTCCCGGATTTGAGAACGACATTTCATGTCGAGTCGCAGAGATGGTTTCCAGTTTTCATTGCCACTGCGCAGCCTCCGGGCCGTCCTGCCTTTCCCTTTATTGCCATCCACTCGCCCATTCGTGCCATCAATTTCCTTCAAGCAGGAAAGACGTACCGCCTCCACTGGTAACCGATATGGAGCGAACATAATGCGGCCGATTGCTGCGGACCATCAGTCACCCCTAGGCACGCGACTGTCCGTCGGCTGCTAATGTGCTGCGGCTAATTGGTCCGGTAGTTTCCCGACGATTGTCTGCCTGGTGACCCGTCGAGGAGGTGGTGGGCGGACACCTATAGTGGAGTACTGACCCTTGGGGGGTGTCCTATTCCGTACTATTTGGTAGCACTAGTAGGAGGTTGTCCTCCATTTGGACGCCGGTCCGCAAGGTGGTAACTGGCGTGTGAGTGTTGTTATCTTTTTATAACTAACATCTAGCATCTCATATCAACAGTTGCATATCGAATAACGTCTTAGACAGCGGCTACTGATTATTCCATTAAATTTAGTTTTGTACCTGTGCCTCGTAGAATCGTAGAAAAGTAAAACTATCAATGACAAACACTATGATGATTCACCTTGCAGAGTCGTCACCATGAATGGCTTGCTTTTTTGTCTCTCAGGTTTGCATAAGTCAGCATGATGCCTAGGTATGAGTTAGCAGCCGTTGGAGTCGCCAGTCTTGACCAGAGTCAGAGTCGCCGAAACCTCACCGACTCCGTCTCTCGAGTTAGAGAAGACATTGGTTGACTGTCATGAGCAATGAGCATACCTTCGTTTGTTTGTCGTAACATATTACGCGTTTTCTACCGGCGTGTTACGAATACGGAAAAACATGCTTAAGCAAAAGAAAAATGAATCACTTTACTTGAGTCAATTTACTTGAGTCATTTTATTTTACATTTTATGAGTCATTTTTCTGTTATGTGGGTGATATTGTTGAGGCGCTCAGGAGCCCTGCGCCTCGCTGGGGCTCGTGGATTTCCACGCCCTGCTGGGGGGGCGGGGGATGTTTGAATCCCTCCCCGCCCCTTCGAGCTCGACTCCTGAGCCACGTAGCGATACGGGGTAGGCGATGTTCGAAAGAGCGTCAAAAATAATAACGAAATTACTTCGACCACGTTTTTGGGGTTTTTGGCTCCGCGCCGCCGTTTTTGAGATACTCGCGGCAGAGAGCGTTCACCCCCCCCCCCCCAGCAGGGCGCGGGGTAAGAGGATTCCAGTTTGGGAATAGGTGTCGGTAGTCGAAGTCGTAGTCGATTTTATAGAAGCTTGAGTCACAAACAGTTTGGAAAGGAATCCCTGATCCAAACTTATTTATGTTCGTAGAAGGTTGCAAATGTTTCTTTTTTGTGCCTCCACCGCTACCACACATTTAATTAATTATTAATCTTATGCAATTGCCCAGTTTCTTTCATTTTGACGATATTTTACTGCTTTCATCGGCCTTGGTCGTTAATTAGAGGCATCAAGAAACGCTTACCTAACTACAGTTTAAGCATTCTATTCCATGAATTTCACACGCTCGTACTGTCATTTGCAGCTTTGTGTGTACCTGGCATTGCACATTGTCATTACCCGTCTTGTTGGACACTTGGTTGTAGCTGCTTAAGTCATTAATGTGCTAGTGACGGATAGCGATGTTTCTAGTGTGTAGTGTGAATGATTAAAAACCCACAGCTGTTGACAGTTCGCGAAGGATTAGTCGCTGAATTGCTATTGTTTCTTTGCTGGTTACGTCCAACTTTTCTCCTAAACCGTGTTTTAGGTGCTTCTAAATGTCTAGTTTCAATTCGTGTCATCGTTTTCTTATTCATGGGTCAGTCGCTGTAGTGTCGCCTGGCTGAGATAGGTGGGCGGACTTTGAGCCGACTGTTTAGGAACTGCAAGCTGTGCTGTCGTGTTTGTCGCTGTATTGCCACACAGCTGAGATAGGTGGGCGGACACTCGCCCGATTGTATAGGAACTGCAGCCCGAGCTGTCGTGTTTGTCGCCGCCTAGCTGAGATGGGTGGGCGGAACCGCGGACACTCCGGCTAGCCTGCGTCGGCCCGTCGACAGGCCCCCAATATCCGGCTGTCGGTGGTGCCGCCCACCCCTCGGCCCAGGGGCTGGCCCGGCCCGGCAGCGCTGAGTGTTTGTGCCAGGTTTGCCATTACCCGGCGCAGGTAGTCTGTCAGGAGCGGTATGTGGGAGGGCTTCGCTGAGTGGCGGCAGGTAACGGCTTTCGGGCAGCCCGCTGGGCCTTTGAACTCGAATTGACAATCATTGGAGGTTAGGGCTGCGCAACAGGATTGTAACACATGTAACGAATCGTATCAGTGACGGTTTTAGACAGTGACAGTTAGAAAGTTGGTTGGAGTTCTAATAGGCGTATTGTTGAGTTTGGGCCGGAAATGTGATCTTCGCCAGACTGAACAATTGCCCTGCCTGTCTCTGGAAAAAATCCAGGTTTCGACAGCATTACGAAAGCGTAGCAATTTGTGTCGTGCAAACTCAGCGTATAGCATACTTCAGTGAAGAAATCCGAGCCGAGAGCATTACATTCTCCAAAGAGTGCGGTCACAACCAACGGACAGCTGATCAAAATTTCAGCTTTCAGGCTTGCCAGACTTTGGCGCCAAGCCTGCCTCGCACTTCCATTTTGTGGTGTGGAGTCGCTCGTACATGCCTCATGCCACTGGATGCAGAAAGCTCGAGATCCTGTGCGTCTAGCGCACCCATTTGAGAGTCGTGCGAGTGCGTCCGCTCACGCTCATTCTCCTCGTTCCAGGGCGAAGGGCGGCCACTCGGAGACCCGTTTCCGGTCCATCAGTGACACGTTCACGCAGCGGTTCCAGCAGAAGTCGCCCTTCTTCTCCTGGTGTTAGCCGCTCGGCGGCGGCTGACGCCAGGAGGTGGAGCGTCCTGTGCTGTGTCCCGCGGGAGGTCACGGGTCGCCGAGGACTCCGAGAGAACTCGGGTCGCCAGGTGGGTGTCCCCAGTTTCCGCGGCAGACGGACGGCGGAGCGCGGGCCGCCGGTCCCCGCCGGCACGGCCGCAGCGCTGTCTTTCTGAGTGCCGACGCCCGTGCCGGGAGTGTCTGACACGGTACGGTCTACCGTCAAGGGCGGGGTCCGGGGAGTGCCTGCCGTCAAGGGCGGGGTCCAGGGAGTGTCTGTCCCTCGCGACGGAGCCGCGGCGCCGGCGGGTCGCTCTGTGGAGTCGACGTGTGTCCAAGGTGACGTTTCGCTGCTGATGGGCGCGGTCAGGCCGCCGCTGCCGCTCTGCAGTGTGTACGTTCCAATGTAGGACGGTCGGCCGCGGCGACTGAGAGGACAGGGCGCCGGCCTGTCCGCTGTGCTGTGTATGTGCTTGTGTCTGTCTGTCTGTGTGTGTGACGGTGATGTGACGGCGCTGTGCTGCTGTCTGACGTTGGACTGACGTCTGTGCCTGACGCCAGTCAGCACGGATGCCGCAGCAGCGACGCGCCGAATCTATAACGTGAGGTGAAAGAAGACTAGCGAAGTCGGAATCTAGGTCATACTATTATTTGAGCGGGGATGTTTATTCTTCATATATCGGGCTCGTGAGTGATTATGTATGAAAGACATTAACTAAATATCAATTAGGTTCTGGTGGTGAGGTTTTGTATCGTATCGTCACCGTCGTCGATTCACGCTGACTCTTAGCGCTAGTCACCCTGGCTGATCTGAAGTAAAACACTTCACGTGTGCGTGAGAAGCTATCCAAGTGTTCGTTTCCTGCACCAGTGTAGGTGATGTGTGTGTGCTGCGGTGTCGTGAGGCCGGCTCTGATCGGCCGGCGAAGTCCCGGTGCCGGGTTGTTGGACTGTCGGCGGCGTCGGCCCTCGGTGCTGTGCGTGTCGGTACCGGCGCCGCTCGTCGCGATCGGGGTGGGGTGTGCCGGTAAGGGGGACAGGAAGCTCTATTTTCACACACATGTATCCGCTCTCGGCCGCGGCCTGGGGTCGAGTGCTGGCCAGCCGGCAGACTGGCCGCTGCGGCGCCTCCCCCGCGGAGGAGACTTGCCACGCTGTGTGCCGCTCGGTGCCACCCCGGCCACGGACCAGCACGCAGCCTAACCTAGTCACCGGTGTTGGCCGCCTGTTCGGGCGGATCCCCGCGCCTCCCGCTCGCCGCCTGTCTCTGCGGGTCGCCGCGCCTCCCGCTCGCCGCCTGTCTCTGCGGGTCGCCGCGCCTCCCGCTCGCCGCCTGTCTCTGCGGGTCGCCGCGCCTCCCGCCCCGCCGTCCCGTCTCCCTCCGGCCGGTGGCCCGGTCTCCAGTGCACTGGCCCGGTCTCCAGCCGGATCACTGCAGTGTGACGGCAGAGCGCGGGGTGCCAGTGACTCCGCTCCGCTGGCGCCACGCCTCTCGGTGTGTGGGTCTCGGGAACAACCTTCTCCGGATGTCCCTTCTGTCGCCCGGCACGACGAGAAACAACTCTAACTTTATCTGTGCGATATTCCATTGTGTGCGGCATATGTGATTTATATATATCAACGCATGCACTGACTATTTACACACGCGTTTATCTGCTAACAATTGGTCTTGCTTGAATTGAACATCGGTGTCCTTCGTCCATAGAATGTGATTGAATTCGAACGATATAGGTGCTGATGGATCTCGAATCACATCGGACACACGCTCAGTTGATGTGGGTTTTATTGACAGTATTTGTGGTGTTGCCTCAGTTCGCTTTGGCCACAGCCCCGTGATCACACGCTTCACAGATTGAACACACACACCCACACACTCGAATAACATTTCCACAACACTGGCTAATCCCAGTGTTAACATCTGCTTCGTAAACGGGACCCCGCAACCCAATGGCATGATAGTGTTATTATTATGCCGCAGCTGTCTGCTGTTTTGTATTTTTCTGTGATGACTGATGTGCGTGAGCTAGGTGAGTGATGTAATTCACATTTTAGTCCTTATCCCGGAGGAGACCAAATTTAACCAGAAAACGGCAGCCCACCAGATTTCATAGCAGATTGAGTTATGATGGAATGTAAAAGTATCGCATTTTTAATCATCTAGGCCTAAAAAAAAAATGAAGATTTCAAGCGTCCTGAGCAAGCAGATGTGTGACATGGAAAAAAGCCTAACTTGGGCCTGCCTATGACCAGAAAAGGATCGTATATCCAACACTTAGTTAGGGCTACCGTTATTTGCAAGACCCTTCTTGTTTTTCAGTATTGCAGCGTTCCTAACGCAGCCAGTTAAATTACTTCCGTTTTGGAAGTTAATGTGCACATCGTGCCAAATAGCAGCATAACATGCGCTACGTAAGTGACGGGAACCATGCCTGTTCGTTCCCAGTGCTTTTTTTCCTTTGCTTTTTATCTACAATTACTTTGCGTTTCCGGGTCCAATAATGTTATTGGCACCTAGATAATGCGTGTTTTGTGTGTTAAACACCGGAGTTGCGTGACAACTAAGTGTAATTAAGGTAGTGGGGTTTATATAATCCAAGTCCTTTTCACCTGATGACAGAATGAATGTACACACCTGTTGGTTGGCTGAGCAACAGCGCTGCTTGGCCATTCAGAATATGCGTCCCACTGATAAACTAAAGTGGTGGCCTTTTGCGCCCGGTAAGTTGGTATCACGTCTTTCTGCATTAGCAATCATGGGCATGTGACCGTCGGCTGCTAACAGGAACTTTGTAAATACCTCCACCTGTGTCCGTTCTATGGGGCGTGAGTGACCGACCGTGTTGGCAGCACTGAGGTGGTACGCTTACAAGTCACGTGGCGCTACCGCGGCTGGGCGCTTCCCAATCACGCACTAGCACCGGTGGAATCGATCGGGCCCGTAGGGTCGGTTCATACGGCGTCCGACGCCCCGCCCCGGGTCACTCATCGCCGCTTGTAGTACGGGCCGCCCGGATCACTCGTCATTCGTGGCACGGGGCCCGGCGCTGCGCCAGGCGAGGGCCGCGCGGCGTCGAGCGGCCAGCCGCTGCCAGCGCCAGCGCGCGGCCTTACTGCGGGCGCGGTGCACCAACACCTCGACCAGTAGAGCCAGCAGGCCTGCCGCGAACCCGGCCGACAGCAGCATGAAGGCGCCCTGCAGGTGGTACACCGAGATGGCCACGAACCGGGTGGGGTCGGGCCCGCGGCTGGCCGGCCGCCGGTCTCGGCCCAGCGAGGCGCGCCGCTCGCGCGTGTCGTGCTCCCACTTGGTGATGAGCCCCGCCTCTACCAGCTGCTGCATGAGCGAGTCGAACTTGTGGACGTACGGCGCCGACGGCCGGAAGCCCCAGCCGTAGTTCTGCCGGGCAGACAGGCACTGGTCAGCAAGGGAACGGAACGACTCTCTTCAGATCACAAGGGCAATGTCAGCTTACTGGTATCGCTTCGTATGCCAAAACCGATTATTAAACCACCTTATACTCATCTTTATTCTTTGGTGTAGTTATGCAGTGTCTGTTACATATAACCATTATCAAACGATGAATAAAGAACAATCAACATTTGACTATGAGCAACACCAATAGTTAATAAGATTAAGAAGTGTTCGGCATAATTTTGGTGAGGGCCCGCTATACCATACGCCTGTGACAATGTCTCAGCCCGGCGTACCTCTGGTGAGAACGTCTCTCGGGACATGTGCACGAGCGGCTGGCCGCGCTGGTCCGAGTACCGCTCCGCTATCACCGTGTCCAGGTTCGATTTCCACGAAATGTAGGCGTACCGCTCGTTCAGCAGTTTGCGGAACGACACAGACGTGTTGTGGAACTGCATCTTGGCAAACAGTTGCTGAAAGGAGATAAAGGCGGTCACGGAATCAGCCGGTGCCGAAACGGCGGGTCAGCACTCAGCAGATATGCACGCGATTGCGCACAATTGCACTCAGCCTACCCATTCGACCTTGCCAACGAGTAACGAGTAACACTTGACCTGACTTGACTAACACTTGACATATGCTTCTGTCTGGCCAGAATGCCTCATGAACTGAACAAGACAAGCTTGCAATTCGTTAATTGCCTGCGCCCTGCATATAAGTAGTTGTTTATCAGTGTAAGCTAGCGCCTACCTGCATGTTGTGCTATTGACATAGTATCCGTAGCGCGATACTAGCATGCCCGTGAAGGTCCCTTTGTTCCAAGTGAAGCACAGCACGGAAGGCACGTGTTGTCGCCGCATCTCGTTTCAGCGTGACATTAACATCACTGCACGTGCCAAGCACATTCGGCCTTCAGTACGGTTAGATTATCGAAACCAAGACTCGAATCCATCGTCCTCGGTCCTCACCTGGTAGACGGAGACGGGAGACGTCTGGAACAGGGTGAAGTCGGAGCCGAAGCCGTCGCTGAGGCCCCAGGAGAAGCTGCTTTCGGCCAGCGCCTCCAGAGTGTTGATGTTCTCACTGAGCGAGGGCACCGTCATCATGGCCACCAAGCTGGACTTGTAGGCGGTCAGGATGATGATGCAGTACAGCCACCACCAGCCCAGAAACGTCTGCGGCACATCAGAGCCGTGAGCATCAGGGATCGTGTGACAACAAGCATCAGTCGTCCTTATTTTCCTCACTTAGCTAGATGTGTATCTAGAAGTATGTTGGGCCTTTCCACCGGATGAGGGCGCTGGTCACAACGATTAGGACGACGAAGACACGAGCTTGAAAGCCAAGAACCCAACGTCAGAAAAATACGGCTCACTTTTCTGATGCATGTGTCGGAATACTTCCTACCCTAGCTGAATTATCCACGTCACGCACCACCACATTTGCTCGCAGCCCTTTATGAATCCGCTAGTGAATACACCTCAACAGACAGGTAGGCTGTACCGCAGGGACGTCGACACCGGTCCGACTTTTCCGACTAGTCGGACCACTTTTTCGACTAGGCGGTGCCCTGCTGTGGCTCGCGGGGGCCCTGCTGTGGCCGCGGGGGCCCCTGTTGGGGCTCTCGGGGGCCCAGCTGCGGCCACGGGGGCCCCTGCCTAACCTAACCTAACCTAACACCTGGGGGCCCCCACCGGTGGGGGCCCCCCGAGAAAAAGTCGGACCAGTTTTCCTTACGCGTCGACGCCCCTGCTGTACCGCAATACACCCCGTCAGGTAGGCTGTACCGCAATACACCGAGCTGGCAGGTAGGCCGTACCGCAATACACCTAAGACAGGCAGGTAGGCTGTGCCGCAATACATCTGAGGCTGACGGGTAGGCTGTACCGCAATACACCGAGCTGGCAGGTAGGCCGTACCGCAATACACCTAAGACAGGCAGGTAGGCTGTGCCGCAATACATCTGAGGCTGACGGGTACGCTGTACCGTAATACCCCCGAGACTGGCAGATAGGCTGTACGCAATATACTATACCTTCCGACTGACAGGTAGGCTGTACCGCAATACACCTGAGATTATCAGGAAGGATGTGTCACAATACACCAGAGACTGTCAGATAGGTTGTGCCGCAATATACCTCTCGCCTGCCAGGCTGTACCGCAATACATCCCGTCACTGGCAGGTAGGCTGTACCGCAATACATACCAACCGACAGGTACGCTGTACCGCAATGCACCTCCCGACTGTCGGACATGCTGTACCGCAATACACCTCTCGACTGCCAGGTAGGCTGTGCCGCAATACATCCCCTCACTGGCAGGTAGGCTGTGCCGCAATATACTTCCCGACTGACAGGTAGGCTGTATCGCAATACATACCGACTAGTAGGTAGGCTGTACCGCAATACACCTTAACTGGCAGGTAGGCTGTACCGCAATACACCTCAACTACCAAGTAGGCTCTACCGCAATACGTATTAGAGTCTGAGACTGCCAGGTATGTTGCACCGCAATGGCAAATGCACCTCCCGACTACCAGGTAGGCTGTCCCGCAATACACCCCGACTAGTAGGTAGGCTGTTCCGCAATACACCTCTCGCTGGAATGCGTCATTACCGCCTTACAACGACCCCACACTGACCTTGGCCGCGGTGGAGTGAGACGGCACTCGACTCTGGGCGTTCTCACACATGGCTCCGTAGGTGTTCAGTATTGAGAGGCTGATGGTAAAGCGACGCTCCGGAAGTGGGTGGAAGCGGGTGAAACCGAACGCCGCCAGTCCGGCCAGTAAGACCGAAACGATGGTCACTATCCATAGCGTCACTGCGGAGAGAGAGAGAGAGAGAGAGAGAGAGAGAGAGAGAGAGAGAGAGAGAGAGAGAGAGAGAGAGAGAGAGAGAGAGAGAGAGAGAGAGAGAGAGAGAGAGAGAGAGAGAGAGAGAGAGAGAGAGAGAGAGAGAGAGAGAGAGAGAGAGAGAGAGAGAGAGAGAGAGAGAGAGAGAGAGAGAGAGAGAGAGAGAGAGAGAGAGAGAGAGAGAGAGAGAGAGAGAGAGAGAGAGAGAGAGAGAGAGAGAGAGAGAGAGAGAGAGGAGAGAGAGAGAGAGAGAGAGAGAGAGAGAGAGAGAGAGAGAGAGAGAGAGAGAGAGAGAGAGAGAGAGAGAGAGAGAGAGAGAGAGAGAGAGAGAGAGAGAGAGAGAGAGAGAGAGAGAGAGAGAGAGAGAGAGAGAGAGAGAGAGAGAGAGAGAGAGAGAGAGAGAGAGAGAGAGAGAGAGAGAGAGAGAGAGAGAGAGAGAGAGAGAGAGAGAGAGAGAGAGAGAGAGAGAGAGAGAGAGAGAGAGAGAGAGAGAGAGAGAGAGAGAGAGAGAGAGAGAGAGAGAGAGAGAGAGAGAGAGAGAGAGAGAGAGAGAGAGAGAGAGAGAGAGAGAGAGAGAGAGAGAGAGAGAGAGAGAGAGAGAGAGAGAGAGAGAGGCTGTTGAACTCGCCACAACAGTGAGGCCGATTCCATAGCGCGGTGGGCTGGGTTCAGAGACAGAGCTTTCATTCTCGTCGTACGCTGACAAAGCTCACCACGTAATTTCGAATCGTTACATACGAGTATTTAACACAAAAATAGCTACTCGTATTTAAAGGGACTGTCCCACCTTAACATTAGATTTGAGTTGAGATAGCCATCTTGATGGACGTTCTTTGAAAATCAGTGCCGTGAAAACCGTTTCTCCAGCAATTACTTCATCGCAAAGAAATTTGAGTTTGATTTTGACATCTGTGCAAATAAGTGCCACAATGTATTGGTATAGGCACTTAAATCTGATGACGTCATCAGGCTTTCGAACGTCCGTTAAATGTTTGACTAAAACGTTTTGTAGCACGCGGTGGTATATGCTGCGTTGCGCGCAACAAATGCCGCACTTTTAAATAAAGTCGCTAGGAACAGCGGAGATCCCAAAAAGTAAACAAAAGTAAAAGTCTAATATCTTGAAAACCGGTGAATATTTTTCGGTGAAATTCGGTAGATATTCGTTTTCGCTCTTTCTGAACCGAGCGACATCACTTTCATGCCAATTCATAAACTTTTTTAAAGGTGGGAGGGTCCCTTTAACACAAAAATAGTGTTAACGGTTCCACTCACATAAATAAGAATCAAGAATTCTGCTAACTTGCACGGCTACTATGTCACTTAATTACATACTTTCACAGAGCTACCACTGTGGTGTGTAATTCACATGACCGTATAAAGAACCCGCCACTAGCCCGGTCACCGGCCGGCGGCTGGTTCGCGACGTTCAGACTCACTTCTGAAGGGCCGGAAGATGGAGAGCCACTGCGGGATTGGCTGCGCCAGTCCCGTGACGAACACGAACGTGTCGATGGCGTAGATACGCGTGAAGCGGATGGTGGCCACCCGCTTGTGTAGCATGGTCAGCACCAGGGTGAAGTCGGTGTCGGTGTCCTCGGCCAGCTCTCCCATGATGCCGGTCCAGCTGCCGTTGGGCCGCTGAACGCTGGAGGGTGGAACTGATGTCACGGGGGGGGGGGGGGGCAAAGCGACAGAGGATGGTTTTGGAATGGTATGATACGCGAATGTGACGCACCGTTGTGGTAGTCCGGTTGTTGAAGCAGGTAGGCACCGAATGACCGTTATTTTCAAATGACTGGTTAATCCCCAAGGCATGCGTTATGAAGGGCGGGTTACTTGAATTGAAATTTGGGCAACATTTAAAAGAATTATGTCTAAGACATTTGAGCAGCCTATACCTACCTAGGTACGCCTTCACCACGGCTTATGAAGTTTCCTGTGGGTCCCAACCGCTGTTGAAATGTCGGGATGCTGATCTGTCAATCAGTAAATGATCTGATAATTATTGAGCACATCCTGAAAGTTTTAAAGAAATAAGTCCAAAGCTGTGAGTTGGACAGGTGCATAAAGAAAATTGAAATTTGACCATGAACTTGTACCGGTTTTTCTAACCTGGTGGCCTGGCCCAAAGTCAACCGGACCTGAATTTCCAGGTCATGTGTAAAAAGGTTGCCCGTAGGCTGTACCAAATTTGACGGCGCGCAGTGCCGCCGTTTTTACGCTATTTTTTTATAAAACTTAGGGGGGTCGCATCGACCTCCCCCCTACCAGGGCGAGGGTTAAGCTTAGGAACATCATGTAGCATGACCATAGGCGTCGCCAGAGATTTTCGGTTGGGGGGGCAAAATCGATTTTGGTGCTAAATCTTGCCTTTCTACAGTCATTACTCACACGTTTTACATGTCATTCGACGCGCCATGGCGCGAAGAATGCAGTGGTGGCAAATATTTTCCTCTAGCTATGAAATGCAAAAAAAAAAAATAGAGTGGACGACTTCGGTAAAATCAATGCTTGGCCCATTACCCGTTAGGTACGTCAGTTTTAGCAGGGCAGAACCTTGTTATGGGGAGGCCGGAGGGCACAGTGGGTCTTTGGGACCCCTCCCTCAGACGGGCCCCGTGCAGGTGCTCCCGATCCTCATCCAGAAGAAGTTAAAAATGATCCAGGCAGTCGGTTCACCCTTCTAAAATCCGTTTCTTGTATGCATAATTGCATAGTTTTTGCGATGTATTTGTTGTATTTTCGACTCGACTTCGACCCCGGCTTCCAAAATCAACTTCGACCCCGGCTCCCCAAATCGGATCTGACTCCGGTCAGAGCTGTCGACCCGACCGACTCCAAAGTCCAACCACGACCCGCAGCCCTGCTGAGAGGCACACGTGGCCCCTCAGATGCTGGTTTTGGGTCTGCAAGAGCCCTGTGTTGCCTCAAGAGCTCGGCTGGGCTAACTATTAGAGGTCAGCGAAGGTTTAAAAAAATCTCCGAAGGTCCTTGTTCGAAGATCCGTTTCTTTCATAGACCTGCCGTATGGATGATTGGAATGACTATCAGAGACTGCCATTGGCCATTGGACACCGATGGGACCCTCATAGGCCAGTATGGGGCCGTTGAGGCAGGCGGAGGCCCTCAGAAAGACTGTCCAAGTAGCCCTCAAATATCTGCGCCTAAGCCTTCAGAATCAGCAGTGGGAGACCGGAGTGGTGTTCGCAAGTGCCGGCCCGAGGGCCCCCAGAGGTCGGTTTGGGTTCCTCGGAAGTTAGCGTACCGTAAAGTGGGGCTATTTGAGACAGTGGGGCTATTTGAGACAGTATTTAAAATAACTATAAAATGAAGATCGTTTGATATTTTTGTGAAATGTTTGCTCAGGGTGGTGCTGAATCGAGCAGTGAATCGCCTGAGCAAAAAAAAATAAGCATGAATATCAAACGGTTTTCATTTTATTACAATTCTAAATACTGTCTCAAATAGCCCCACTGTCTCAAATAGCCCCACCTTACGGTAGGACGTTCTTAGAGTTCAGTGGGGATTTTTAGGAGCATAAGAGCGGCCTTTAATAGCCCTGTGGCACTTTAACGGCACTTGAACATGCCGCAGACATTTAGCCAGAACTGGAAAAGACCCTGACCCAACTTCGAAATTTTCGAGCTAGGTCTTCACACAAAAATTTCGTGACAAAATTTTCATAGACTGATGAAAACCGAGCATAGAACTCAGCTAAAACCAACCAATACATCCAATGAATCAAAGTATTGACATGTCCGAGTTTGGAGTCAAAGTCCGGAAGAATTTGGTGACTCTCACTCAGACTCTCGCTGGGACTCTCGACTCTGACCAATTCTGACTTCACAGGACATTTTCGAAAACTACCCCCATTTTTTGCCGACCCCAAAATCTCATCGGATCTGCATCGATCTCAGGGGGTGCCCTGCCGGAGGTTGGGGGGGCAAGCTGCCCCGCTTGCCCCCCCCCCCGTGGCGACGCTAATGAGCATGACATTGCTTGTTGCACCGGCTCAAGGGAAGCTTGTGGTGCTCTTAATATTTCATCGATAACTTATACCCATCAGGCGACGTTTCATGTGAAAACTCATGCATGTCGAGCCGGGCCGCCCGTCCACTTCCTTACGGACACATTGCGACAACCGCCCGGCGTTAGAAGCACGGCCAGCGACCGTATCAGCGTGGCACGTGACTGCCGCGACTGTCATCAATGCGGCGGAAATTATACGGCCGTTTAATCACGGTCGTGGTGGGTTTAGTGAGGCGCTGAGCACCGTTTTATCTGGCGTGGACACGACCCCATATGGCATGTGGTGTCTGAAAGGTCCGAGGGCTGGCGTGAGGACGTGACAAGAGCGAGGATTCAGCTACAAAGCATGCTCAGAAATAAGTAGGTACGATAGCAGTTGATGAAGATATGAAGTTGTATTGTTTTGGTGAAAACGTTATAGATCATAATTTACGCACTTTTGCCTTTCTGGTGTGAGTATATCTAGAACGCGTGAACATGCCTCGTAAATGTTACGTGGTCACAATGTCACTCGATTCATTCAGTTACCTATTTCGACAGGCTGCAAATGACATGCCGGTAAATGGCAAACAATTTGGTTAGAAAGGTCGAAAAATCAGTAAGTAGTTGGCCCTATCCCACCAAGTCGTCTCGCCATTGATTTTCAACAGCGCATACCCGACAGAAAAGTGGGCTGCTAACGTCATATAGCCATCGACCGGTAACTGGTGGGGATCGCACGAGCGCAGCGTTTTTCGGCCCTTCTGCACTGTCCGACCGCTCGGCAGGTAAACGGTCGCTGGCTGCTACTATGCAAACATGGGGCTAAGTCACTGTCATATTATTCAGACGCGAAGCTCGCTCATTTGAATCAAGCTTACGGACTTATAAAGTAAGCGTCTTCAGTTCAGTTTTTACGGTAAATCGTGCCCCTGAAAATGCGAATCTATAAGATAAATTTTATTTCAACTTTAAAAGTCATGCACATTTATATAATTTTTTAGATGTAGCCTGACCCTGTAGGTACCCACAGGTTCGAAAAATGGACCATTAATTTGGGCAATGGATAATTAACATGTTTGGAGGGCGAAACTAAACTAACAGCTACAAGATGAATACTCAAAGCATTAAATGAACATTAGGGCAATAAAACATCACATTTAAATTTTAGTCACACTGGCCAGCGACCTAAGGCTAAACCCTTGCAAGCTTGCAGTCAAAATGTATTGATGTCGATTGTCGAAGTCTCTTATCTGCACTTCGCTATACCTACTGTTCAGTGTTCATCGTGCCTGTCCGGACTGTCCATACGATTACGTGACAAAAGATCGTAAGACAAAAGATCGTATGGAAAAAGATCGCAGGAAAATGATCGTATGATAAAGATCGTATGTCGCAAAAGATCGTACGACTTAAGATCGTAAGCAAAAGATCGTAAAGCAAATGATCGTATGGAAAAAGATCGTAGGAAAATGATCGTAAGATAAAGATCGTATGTCGTAAAAGATCGTACGACGAAAGATCTTCAGAAAAAGATCGTAAAGCAAATGATCGCATGAAAAAGGTCGTAGGAAAATGATCGTATGATAAAAATCGTATGTTGCAAAAGATCGTACGACTATAGATCGTAAGCAAAATATCGTAAAGCAAATGATCGTATTTAAAAAGATCATAGAAAAATTAATCGTAAGATAAAGATACTATGTTGTAAAGTATCGTACGACAAAAGTTCGTAAAGTAAATAATCGTATAGAATAATCTTGTAGGTAAATGATTGTAGAATAATGAGGGTAATTCGCAAAAGATTTCACACAAAAAACAACAATCGAAAGCAAAAGATCGTCAAACATTTGATCAAAAGTTTTGGAAGCTTCGGTTCCGATTTCGACTCTGTGCAAAAACCGAGGTCCAATCTGAAGACAATATTCAGAAAACGGCCTTAAAAGAACCATCGAATGCGCTTTTCTGCGGCTCTGTAACTCTATTGGTTCTCGAGTTAGCCGTCGGGTGTTTTGAAAATTGTTGAAATGGGCAAAATTTGACCTTTGATGACCTCTGGTGACCTGACGTTTGACCTGACCCGAAAATGACCGAGGTTTTCCTTCTGCGATTGCCGCTTACCGCGTGTCGCTACTTGGCCCAGGAACCTAGTTAGCACACCCCCCCCCCCTCCAGCACTCTGCGGAAAACTCAAACCACCAGCACGGCGCGGGTTAACCCTATTAGTGGCAGGGGGGGTTGTTTTTATCCACCCCTCAGGTTTTTCGGGAATATCTCCGAAACCGCTGAAGCTACGATGCTGAAATTTTCTGACTTTTCCTAAAACTAAATTGGGCACATTCCCTGAAAATTTCAAGTTCATAACTTTACCAGGGACGGCTCCAGAGCACTGGGAATTGGGGGGTCCTATTCGTGAAGCGAGTCATTTGGGCGAAGATCACGATGCTGCACCAGTTTTACGAACAGTGAATAAAAGGTATCATGTGATAACATATACAGTTATTGTGCATCCTCTTTTGACACGTTTTTGCTATCTTAGGCGGATCCAGGCGTCCAAAAAGGGGGGTTATGTTTTACCTCCCAACATAGGTGCCCTGACACCGCCTATGCATTACCAATACAATTTTAGTCGTTCTCTCATAAGAAAATTAAAACATAACAAGACCATTACCACCCTTTTTAGAAACAGTACCAACAAAAACCTTATTTACTATACTTTTTGTGTACCCCCAATCTCAATGATCTGTATCCTCCTATGATTTTTGAAAATGCATATTTTTAGGATCCATGTGAATTCCTGGTTCATTCTCTATCGATCGGCAAAAGTTGCGTTAAGATTGGTTCAGAAACCTGGCCGTGATAAACAGTCTAAAATGTATCTGCAACTTGCCCGTTTTTACCCCCCTCTACCCCCCGTATTGACTTTTTTTAATTTTTATTTTTTAGAAATGTAGATCACGTTGAGCGAAATCGAATGCCGTTTGAATTTTGAAAATCGGCCCGTTAGATCTCGAGATATTAAGGGGGGGGGTCGTAAACAGCCCCCCCCCTGCCACTGGCGGATCCAGACTTGCGTTTTGGGGGGGGGGCCAACTCCTGCAAGTAACCAAACCTAGGGTACCCCCAAATCCTGTTTTCTCATCGGATTTAGGCCACTTATTTTTTCGTCACAGCCCTGAAACGATATTTTTTTTAAACTAAAAATAAAAAAATAGAAATGGTAGCCCACCCAACCCGAGCCTAAATATTACTTTGAAAACACTTCAAATTGCTTTTGTCGACCAATTAGCCCGCTCCGGGTCGGTGCGTGGCGCAGCCTTCGCGGGCTGGGAGGTGTCGGTTGGACCCTCTGCTGTTCGGCCCCTGATTAAGCTAGAGCTCGCGGAAAAAAAACAGGCGTGTTGCCCGTGAGTGACGAGACGAAGCCGATGATACCCGATTTTAAGGTCCTTGGTCATTGGTTGACCTTTCAGGGCGGTGTTTCACGGTCGTGCTGACAGCCGCTGACAGCGCATTCCGCGAGCTAAGGTCAGCCTTCGGTAGTGTTGTGGGTATAGGCTTGTTGATGTCTCCATTGAAACCAAAAGTGCCATCAGCGCTGGCAGCGGCTGGCAGCGTGCCGTGAAACACCGCCCAGGTCAGGTCACAGACCCAAAAGACGGGAAAATCAGGACCTGTCAGAACCTCCTAAAGTAAGGCTGTAATACGTTTTTTTTGTGCTGATCACAAATTTCATGTTAGTTTGGATCATAGATAATGTCTTCATGCGTTTAGACCATGTCGGGGCAGGTCAGGTCAGATCAACCAGTAGGAGTACTTATGGGCGTCCGTATAGCAGGTGTCCACTACCACTGGCAGCTAAACATGATACGAAGGCATCAAAACTACTTCGTAAATGTTCAAATGGCTGCAAAATGCTAAATTCAAAATCAGCTAAACGAAACTATCCTAGAAACATGTTAAACTCGGAAAAGTGCACCGAGGTCATCAAAGGTCAATGACCTGACTTGACCGTAAGGTGACATTGGCATCCGCCCTAATGCGTGGGAGCAACATCATATCACATGTTTGAGCGTTTTAAACCACGAAAAGACTATAAAAGCGCGGATAATGTGAGCCGACATACGCCGAATCGCTATTCCGGCCAAACATGGCCTCCAACATGGCCAAACAGTCTCGAGAAATAGGCCACAAGTCAAAGTTCACTTGGGTCAGGGTCATGAAATTTTCAGACTTTGTCACCATGAGGGTACTAAAGTTTCGTCGCGATCGGCTTCATGATACCTTACACGATAACTTCACACGTCGATCGAGAGTTAAAGCATGGATGAAGGAGAACCAGGGGATGAAGGTTCTTTCATCCATGGTTAAAGTGTGCAATAAGAACTTCTTGGGTGAAGACAAGACCAACACTTTTATCAAGCTCACAGATTTTTAATGATACGGTATTTTCTCTCTACCTACTACGCCCTTCTCACATTCATTTTTCTTAAGTGTTTTTGGGGACCAAAAAATATATGTTGTTCCCCTTTCAGGCTTGGGGGCATGACCCCGTGACCCCCCTGGATCCGCTAGGCCGAAACTAACTAGGTCGTTTTCAAACGGTCTGATATTTCAGGTCATAGTTTGCAAACGGCCGGTGTTTTCAGGTAGTTTCATATGGCCTGACTGGGCCAGGCCGTTTGCAAACGGACCGAATTTTCATACGGCCTGTAACATATATTCAGATTTCGACATCTGTCGTAGCATCAAATGCTGATGTGGCGCACTCAAAAGCCGGAATTGGTCCTTGGATGCCGTAAGGACCCTTTTAAGAAATAAGTGACCCGACTGACCCTTAGAGATTGGCCTGAGCTGTGACCGAAATTAAAGGCTGGGGGGAAGACTTACGCCTTAGGCTGGCGTAAGTCTTTTACCGTTTCGCAGGAAGGGACAAAAAGGTCCCTCATATGCTTCTTGTACAATTACGAAACAAAACAAGTTTTTTTTTTCAACGAAAACTCAGTGAGTTTTCCTAAAAAATTTATTGCGCATATTCCGTGAATGAAAAGTTGCCGGGTCATGTCACGTCAGGCTGCCACAGCAAGTTTGTTAACTTGACAGCTCAATCGATATTTATGCAATGAGACCTTCTCGGGTGACGATAAGACATGACGACACTTTATGAAGGAAGCTAGTAAACCCGGTAGTTTCTCCATAGGCGCGGGAACCGGGGGGAGGGGGCAGTGGTGGCAGCTTGCCCCCCCCCCCGCCCCCCCCCCCCCCCCAACTCTGGGGCCGTGCGGGCGGTGCCCCCACAACTTTCAGACAGAATACCGCTCCTTTTTGCAAATGTTTTCTTTTTTTGTTCAAAAAGCCAAGGGATGAAAAATAAGTGGCCTAAAACCGGCGAGAAAACTATATTTGGGGGATCCTAGGTTGATCTCTATCATGGTGTGACCTCCCCCCCCCCCCCCCCCGTCTAAAAGTAGTTCCCGCGCCCCTGGGTTTCTCTACGCTATTGAATCACGCTGCTGATTCTAGTAAGTATCTACTACACAACCTTCTCACATTAATTTTTCTTCGAGCGTTTTGGGGGGCCAAAAGATATGTTGGCCCCCTCTTTCAGGCTTTTTGGGCCCATGGCCCCGGTGGCCCCCTTGAATCCGCCAGTGGGGGCGGTGCCCCCACAACTTTCAAACGGAATGCCGTCCTTTTTTGCAACTGTTTCTTTTTTTTTTGTTGAAAAAGCCAAGGGATGAAAAATAAGTGGCCTAAAACCGGTGAGAAAACTAGATTTGGGGGGACCCTAGGTTGATCTCTATTATGGTGTGCTCCCCCAGTCTGAAAGTAGTTCCCGCGCCCCTGACTTTCTCTACGCTATTGAATCACGCTGCTGATTCTAGTAGGTATCTACTACGCAACCTTCTCACATTAATTTTTCTCCAAGCGTTTTGGGGGGGGCCAAAAGATATGTTGGCCCCCCCTTTCAGGCTTTTGGGGGGGGGCCATGGCCCCGGTGGCCCCCCCCCCTGGATCCGCCAGTGCCCCCTGCCAATAATAGGGGGTAGCCAGGAGCCTGCCACTAATAGGGTTAAGACGGCCACTTACGTCGCGAACACAGAAATTCATAAGCTTTGTATGCGCTGGAGTTGGGATGCACCATGTGAATACCATATCTTTACTGTGCCATCTTTATCTCGTACGATCATTTTCCTTGACGATCTTTTGCTAATACGATCTTTTGTCCATACGAGCATTATACTGTACGATCTTTATACCATACGATCTTTTGGCATACGATCTTTTTCGCTGACGATCTTTTGCGCATACGATCTTTTGTCCATACGATCATTATGCCGTACGATCTTTATCCCATACGATTTTTTGGCATACGATCATTTGCCTTGACGATCTTTAGCAAATACGATATTTTGTCCATACGAGCTTTATACCGTACGATCTTTATCCATTACGATCTTTTGCATACGATCAACTTCCTACGATCTTCTGCCATACGATCCTCTGCTTTACGATCTTTTGTCCGGTTACGTTACCGTCCATACATGGCGCCAGATTCCGAACGTCCGCTTGGGGGCAGATGTCGCGCCAATTTATTTGTACTCATGGCCGCTAGATGTCTCTTAAATCGAGCGCCGTAATGATGCTGTGCCGCACAACACGACAGCTCCCAGATAAGACCCCTGTTGGCCTGGCCCGTCTTGTCTCACCCGGGCAATGGAAAACTGTGGATTTGGAATTAATGACCAGAGGAAATACCGACTTGTCCTTAGGAGATATATCTCGTTCCCTAAGACTATACATCTTGTATAATACAAGACAAGAATAGATTACAGAGTGCTTTACCTGAATAATTTGATATACCATTTCGTAAAAAAACTATTTGCACATCGCCTTGATCCGTACCAACTTATCCCGTCCGTCTCAGCTATTAGCCGTTATCACGACGGGCTATCCGGCGAATGCACCTGATTTGACCAAATCTGCACCTAATTTCTTTTACAGCAAATATCTTCATTTTATGAATTTACATATTTCAGTGTTTTAATCGATGATGCTCGCTGATAATATGACAAAGCAGGCATATAAGCAATTAGTGCAACCCTAGCTGATAGCTGCTAAGAGACACACTGAACCTGATTTGACCAGATCTGCACCTAATCTGTACCAGATGTGCACCAAATGTGTACCAGATGGCCGTCGTGAAAACGGCTGCCGTCAACTTCTTCATTATGTGTGTGGGTAGGGATGGGATCCCGTGTTTCACTCATATCAGCTGATTTACCTACAGGATCAATCGCTTACAAGGCTTGTATTTTGAAGAAGAAAAAAAACTAGGGTGAAAGGCATTTTCAATGGATCGGTCTAGTTCCGATAGCTCATTTTGAGTAGGCGACTGGCAGCAGGGTTCCCGTGGTTCTACTCACCCCCAGGAGAGGTCGCTGGGCTTCTTAATTCCGTAGGTGAAGTTCCACTTGGCCGCCATCACCTGCAGGGCGTTGAAGTCGATGGAGGGCTGCGGGATCAGCCGACCGTCCTCGGTCTCCTCATAGTCCACGAACGGCACAAACGGCAGCACCGAACAGGTCAGGCGGTGGCCGTGGAAGTCGGCGAACTGGTCGGCGAAGAGCGGCCGCAGCAGCTGGAGGCCCTGCTCGGGCGACCAGTGGCCGGCGCGCTGCAGCCGCGGCCCGCCAGCGTCACAGTACAGACAGCGCACCGTCACGTGCGCCGTGCCGTCAGCCCGCTCCGAGATGACGGCCACGTTCGGCCGGTCGCGCAGCGGGCCGAACAGATCGGCCGCAGGAGCGCCGGTCGTGTCGTGGAGGAGGAAGTACTCGCGCCGGATCACCACCGTCTTCTGCTCCTCGACGGCGCGCAGCGTGCGGCCGATCAGCGAGGAGATGTTGCCCCAGAAGACGTGCGTCAGGCAGGGCAGCCGCAGCACCTCGGCGTAGTAGTTGGTGTTGGGCGGCGGCGCCGGCAACTGGCCGGCACCCAGCTCCGACTCGAACTGGAAGTTCATCGAGGAGAACTGGCGTCCGTTGAGGTCGCGAAGCCAGGGCGCGGCGTCTTCATTGGAGAAGGTGAGTACTGAGCAGTCTCCGGTGTGTCGAGCTAGGATCTCCAGCAATGGCGGTACCACGGTGCCGGCGGAGCTGGTCGCCAGGCTCAGCAGTAGGAGCAGCAGCAGCAGCAGCGGCAGCAGGGGCCGTGCTCGCAGACATGAAGACGTTACCGGTCGCGGGGTGTCTGCTCCGCCTGCGGGGCGGCCTCTCCCGGCGTCTGAGGTATATGGGAGTGAAGAAGGTGCCCGCCGGGGTCTATGAACTTGGTGAAGGCCGTGTGAGCGCCCACCACAACTCGAACTGCTTCCAGAATCCACCCGATTCTCCCGGGAGCTACGCATATTTTAAAATTACGGCAACAAGTTACATGGACACCTTGCAAAATCATGTGAAACAGACCCCCAACAGGAATTTACGCACAGTGCGAGGAATGTTTAGGAACTTTTGCAGCCTAGTGAACATCGTTCCTATTTCGTTTTTCTTCATACTCATGTAATATCACGGAACAGATGATCAAAAGACAACCACCGATATTCCCCAAACTCAACTGTGATGATATCACCACTCGCTTGCTGTGACGCGATAACACATCCAACGTGTGACTTCAACGCAACTTTCAACAACTCCTCCCAAATCGTTAGCTATTTCGTTACGATACACCACTGATAACGAGCATGGGGCTAAGCCAGCGTCCGCACTCGCCCCTCGCGGTAAACACCACCCTGTGACCCGGAGTGCCGGCACGACCCCGCCGCCGGCCAGTGCCCGACTGACCGGCTCTGCACGGAGCGTCTGCCGACGGTCGGCGAGGCACAGACGGACCGACGACGGGGCGCGCAGACGCGACAACCGCACCGCCTAGACGGAACCGTAACACCTCGAACCGTGACAGTCCCCGTAGCGGACAGGCCTCCTCGTGTGTGTAAAAACCTTGGAACCCTCTAAAGGGAGGTGGTTGTCGAAAACTGATGGGTCCGGCTGCCCTACTTGAAGCTATGCCGATCTTATGCGTGGCGCCAACAAACGAACCGTAGAAGAGGGCGCTAAATGAAGTCACCCTATCGAACCTCAGCGCATGAGCCAGCAGCGGTATACTGCATACTGCACAGTACCAAGCTCAGAGCTCCATCCCAGGTACGTGCGTGGATCGATCCAGGTACGTGGATCGGGGCGTTGTAATAAAACCCACTTCTTCGCCGCATCTTTGTCAATGCAAAGATAGTTCTGACAAATACTTATGTCACGTAAGTAAAGTTTTTCACCACATTCTATCTAAAAAATCACTTTGTTCACAATTGTACCGTCCGTACAGCCAGCGTCGGAGATGGAGAGGGGCGGTCTCTTTAGTGTTTGGGGGAGGGGGCGAGACTTCTGGGAAAATGACCCTGCACTAGAAACGGCGGAACACCTTCAATTAAGGGGGGGGGGGGCATGGCCGACTTTTGGTCCCTTTCTTTCCATGCAACGCCCATAGGGCTAATGTTACAATGGCAAAATCAAGGGGGGGGCACGGTGCCCCGGTGCTCCCCCCGTTCCGCCGCCTATGCCCTGCACAGACGCCTCACGCATTGCTATTTTGCATTGCAGGTCCGGCACCGTTCTTGATTTTCGGTAATATTGACTTCGTCAATGAAACCAGGAAGGGCAACATCAGACCGCTTATTGCCAAGTGCCGAAAAGAGTTTGGTGACATTTTCGGCATTCTGCTGCCCACCGGACAGCGGGCCGTTCACCTGGTCAACTTCGACCTGATCAAGGAGTCATGCGCGATGCCGGAGTTCTCGGGCAGGCCGTTCCTGTTCTCCGCTCTGGTGCGCACCTATCAGCAGAAGCTGGGCATCATATTCAACGAGGGGCCCACCTGGAAGGAGCACCGTCGCTTCACGCTGAGACACCTGAGAGATCTCGGCTTTGGCAAGCAGTCCATGGAGGGTGTGGTGCTGGATGAATTCGAGAATCTCGCTCAGGAGATGGAGAAAAAGATCGACTCGCCGCTGACCATCCACAGCGACCTCTTCAACATCACGGTCCTCAACGTCCTCTGGCAGATGGTGGCCAGCAGGAGAGTCGATCCCGACAGCCCTGACGGAAAGATGCTGCTGAAAATTGTGAACGAGCTGTTCCAGCTGGTGGGCCCGCGCAGTCCGATGAACCTGGCGCCGTGGCTGCGCCACATTTTCCCCGAGTGGAGCGGGTACGCGCCGCTGGTTCGCCACCGCGATACAACCGTCGCCATGCTGGACAAGGTGGTCGCCGAGCACCAGCAGACGCTGGACCGCTCCAGTCCGCGCGACTTCATCGACGTGTTCCTGATCGAGATGGAGTCGGAGGACGCCGAGGCGCGCCAGTTCAACGCCCGCAACCTCATCATCGTCAGCATGGACCTCTTCTTCGCCGGCATGGAGACCTCGGCCACCATGCTGCACTGGTCCGTCCAGCTGATGGTGATGTACCCGGACGTGCAGACGCGCGTGCAGCAGGAGCTGGATGCTAAGCTGGGCGGCCGGCTGCCCTCCAACGGCGACCGGCCGCAGCTGCCGTACACGGAGGCCACGCTGATGGAGGTGAGCCGGCGGAGCAGCGTGCTGCCGCAGGCCGTGCACAGCACCACCTGCGACACCACGCTGGCCGGCTACAACATCCCCAAGGACACCATGGTGCACATGCACATGCAGGAGGTGCACATGGACCCCGAGTACTGGGGCGATCCGGAGGCCTTCCGTCCGGAGAGGTTCCTCACGGCCGACGGCGCGGTCCGACACGACGAGCGCCTCATCCCGTTCGGCACTGGCAGGCGGTCCTGCCTGGGCGAGACGCTGGCGCGCATGGAGATCTTCATGCTGTTCGCGTGCCTGATGCAGCGGTTCCGGTTCGCCGCCGTGCCCGGCCAGAAGCTGTCGCATGACACCGCGTTCGGAGTTGTGCAGACGCCCAAGGAGTTCAGTGTGACCTTCACCAAACGCGATGGCTCACAATCGAGCTAAGTGCACTGGATCAGAAACGGAAGACACGCTCGATAGCACTCTGAGCTCTGTGAACACAGCTTGCTGTTCAAATGTGGTAGCAATCATAGCTCCTCTGAATTTTACTTCTCGTAACCACTAATCTGTGCACTACCTGCTATCTTCTCTTTATCTCGTTAAAAATAAATATGGATCCATTAGCGGTAGTACTTCTTGCCACGCCGTTCTCGACACTCTGGTTCAAACCAGGATATGGTACCATTCAGCGCAAAATATCACAAAATAATAAATATAATACTAATGACATTCATATAAAAACTATGTAACCATGAATGACATCACTTGCATGATTGGTGACCCGTTATAAAGCCACCATATCGACAGTTCCGAGCAAGAACATCCTGTGTCAAATTTTTCGAAGTTGAGATTTTTATACCATTCGACTCAGCTCGACGAGCTGAGTCGAATGGTATGAACATCTCAATTTCGAAAAATTTGACACTTAGGATGTTCTTGCTCGAAACTATCGATATAATGAAATAATTTTCGACGGACTATCAATGGCCATCTGCAGCCCATCGCTGTGACGGCGAAGAGCAGAGTTGTACGAGGGACATTCTACTAACACTGCCTTGCCGAACCACCCCACTCCAGCGGGTCTTTGGAGAGCCGAAGATCCCCTGAGGTACAGGACTAGAGCGCTAGCCATGCAAAGCTTTGGCAAATCGATGCAATCCGATCTGTTTCCGTTCTAGACTGAAATGCCTGTTACTAAGCCGGTAACATAACTACAATATCACAGTGCATTTATTATCGTACTCTCCAATTGCTAATGCACGTGATCTTCTCAACACAAACTAGGGTAATGATACCCTCAGACCCCGCTGTCGGGCCAATCAGTCACGCAAGCCAAGACAGACAGATCCCTTCTACAACACTTGTACCGGAACGATGAAAACAAGCTCAAATGTACGACGCGACTATGAATAAAACATTTCAATGAAATGACACTGCGTGATGCGATGGTAATTGTACACTGATCATACGTGATAACATCGCATCCAATGCCAGCTCACGTTCAATTTACATAGCGAAACACACGAGCTTTCAGACTCCTTTCACTTCCTTTTCCGACCTTTCCGCTTTCCCTTGCAGTCCTGTTTTTCGATGATTCTGCAAAAGGGCAAATGAATGAATTGAGTGATAATCTTAATTATGAATTAACCTAAAAAAATCAGCCAGCCAAAACAGCCAAGCTCTGCGGCTACCAATTCCACTTAATACAGAATATCTGGTGACACAAATTTAAGCGCATCGTAGTGCTGCAACTGTTTGTCCCCAACCTTCGATTGGTATGGAAACAAGGTTGACAAATGAATGGCAAAGCTTGATATCAAGCAAAGACAGTCAGTCGGAGTCCGCGGAGTCAGTTCATCTCGCACCTAGAATGATTTATCAATCGCACTCACATCCTATCAATGGTTCAATCTGCAAACAACAGAAGCAGTACCTACAGGCAGGAGGGTGGGAACTGGGAACATCGTGTCTGAGTGGGCACAGCTGACTACAGAATGATGTTCCACTCCTCAGGAGCTATCAGCTGAGAGGAACGCTCAGTTGTGCCGTTCATCACGCAATAACATTTAAAGCGTGTATAAGGTGTTCACTGCTGTCAACTCGATCCGTGTGGTGCAGCACAGCCTACCACTCCAGGCAACTGATTACCTGTGAAAAGTGGAACATCATTTTGTACTCAACTGTACACCGCGTACCCACCGGTACATCTGAGGTACACCGCGTACTCACCGGTACTTGCTGGGATACATCTGCTGCTGCACCATCTCGCCCAGCAGGCCCTCGGCCGCCAGCATGGACAGGTAGGTGGTGATGAACGGGTCGTAGTCATGCGTGCGCCGACTCGCCTCCACCTGACGGGCGGTCACGGGGTGGGTCAGGATAACAACACCGGACGGATTCGCACGGAGGCAAGACAGCCAGTGTACGAAACTCAGGAGACAGGACGCATATTTCATTTAACATATACAGCATTTTGGAATGACTATACAGCATTCCACAACGATGCAAATGTAAAGTGGCATACATGCGAAAGGCATTTCGTGCAACAAATGCCTTAGGGTGTAAGATATCCGAATATGAAGAAATTCTGGTAGCAAACAGAAAACATACGCAGCTATCAGGCGCGCCACTGACTGTCTCATTCCACACATCACTGCGGCGAACTGACCTGGTACTTTTTCCTCTTGTCGAGTTCGTCGCGCAGTCGCTCCTCCAGCGCCCGGGCGTCGTGGTGGAGCGCCGTCTGGACGGCGGCGCGCCGGCCGGCCGGCCACTCGGCCGCCGCCTGGCGCAGCTCCGAGTCGGAGCCGGCGCCGCCCGGCTCGCGCGCCAGGTGCGCCCGCAGCTCGGCCGAGAGCGGCCGCGCCGGCTCGGCGCCCGGCCCGCCGCCGTCGGCCGGCGCCGCCGCCGCGGAGTCCCGCTGACCCAGCCGGTGCAGCCACCAACTGACGACAGGCAGGGGTGATCAGGTCAGGCGCCGCATCTTATCAACCAGTGTTGCTCAACTTACGAAATAAACAAGAAGATGGCACTGGATTGGGCTAGGGCAGGGCATTTAACGACGATAATGATGATGATGATGAATTGGGCTTTTTTGGGCGCCCGGACTACAGTGGTCATCGGCGCCCATCTAACGACGATAATTCGGCTGTAATTACGATTATTAAGTAATAAATGAAAATGGACAGACAAAAACCAGTCCCAGAAAGGTTTCGCAAGGAAACCAGAAGCACACACATTATGTGCATATCTAATGAGAAAAATCGTAAATATTGATTCGCCTGCACGGTTAAATTGAGAATTATACCCAAGAAAGTGGGACATAATTTACAATATACTCGTCATGCGCAGTCGCCGACCTCTGGCGGCCGCGAACGTCTCGCTAGAGTTCCTCACATGTCGTCCTTGAGAAGTTTCAGT